CCCCCCTCCATCCTTCTGGTCCTTCTACCGAGTTTAATGAGGTTTCCGGGTTGCAAATTCGCATGCACAGCAGCACAGCACTAAGATCACCATTCACATTTCCCGCTTCCCACGCGCTGCTTCAGCCCTTGGGCCTTGAAATTCAGGATCGGGGCTTCGGGCGTCAGGCTTCTCCCCCGTCCATCGCCTCGCCCTCCACCCGCCGCCCCACGGCCCAGGTCGCTTTTCTGCTCCTGGCAGCTCCTTCCTAGCAGCCTGCCGCCCGCACCGCACCCGCGTTCCCTTCCCTTCCGCACCGCACCCGCGTTCCCTTCCCTTCCGCACCGCGCAGGAAATGCAGCAGGACCAGCCGATTGAGAGAGACTGAGACAGCTTGCCCGCTTGTTCCCGTTCTTTACGCAGCATTCGGTTCTTTGTACCCATACCCACTGGAACGACTCGAACGAGGGATCCGTAAGGTACGGGCACAGGGTAGTGGACACAGGCTCAGGGTCACCGTCCTCGTGCTCGCCTCTTCTCCCCACTCAACATCTCCAGTCAGACCCGTTTGGCTTGAGGTTATCATCCACCCATTCTCAGGACTCTCACCTCGAGAACTCGAAAGTTAACAGATAGATCAGAAATAGGAATACCCGCCGTGGCACCGATGAGTTGGCGCCCTCTTTCTGATACAGTATACACAGACGCAGAAAGAATTGGCACAGGCCAAAGTTTCCCTTTCCATCAACCTCGACATCGGATCCTGCCAGGCTCAATCTCAGCACTGTAGTACACAGTACCTCAGCACCTCAGGTTACCCCTGTCGGCTTGCTCCCGCGGCTTTCTCTCGTCCAGGGCATCATCTCGCTCGCATCTCTCATCACAGTGATCTTATCACGTCTTGCCCCCAATTTCGTGAGTGCTTCTTTGTATCTATCATCCAGACCGGGTGTCTGCTTTTCTCTTTCGCATGGGCGCGCTGATGTTCTAACCTGCGATAAGGTAGCTGTTCAAAATAGGAAAAGAAGAGTATAAGCCATCAGAGACGGCGGCGGCAGTGGCAGCGGCAGCACGAGCGCGACCGGCAGCACCAAATACCTAAGCAACTAGGTAGTTACCTAGCAATACTCCGTACCGGATAACCTGTCCGTCCCTTTGAACAGCGACTTGCATATGAGGCAGCGCGCTAATCACTCGTGGACACCCAACACCACCACCGCAATCTCGGTCGCACGTCAAGCCAGCACCGCACTGGTGCTGCACCGCGCATCCCAATACCCGACCTACCATCCCACCGTGGCCGTCGAGTCGAGTCGAGTGTTCCCATCTGAATCTCTCCCACTTTCAGACCCCCAGACGCTCAGCACATACACGTACACGCATACGCTCATACGTACATACGATACGCAGGCGACAGACGCAGAAGCAGGGCAAGCAGAGCAGCCGAAAAACCAAGCATATCCAGCTCACCCCCATTCCCTGTCGCCGCACCCAAGTCAACACACGTCCACACCCCCTCATCCTTGCCCCCTTCCCACACCCCCGTCCGTCCCCGTCCCCGTACCTCCCTGACCCTCTCCCTCGTCGGCCGGGTCCCAGTCCAGTACGGTACGAACCAGCAGTACGAAGGTACCCAGCAGCGCCAAAAAACCAGAACGAGCACCAAAAACGCACCAGCCAGGTCCTGCTCCACGTCGGGGCCTGCCATCCATCCATCCATCCATCTGGTGCCCTGCGCCAGTTCCCAGTTTCCTAGATCTCGTCTTTTCGACTCCGCGAAACCTCAACTTGTGCTCAATCGAGCCGGCGACTCTTTCTAACGTCTCTCACGACTGCGCCCTCCCTCGATTCCAGCGCACTATATCGAACAAGGCATCTTGGATACACTTCGGCCGCATATCCTCTTCCAAGGCCTCTCTGTTGTCTTAGATCCCTTACTATCTACTTTAGCCCCCATTCCCCCAAGCGACCGCATCCGGATACCGTCACATTGCTGCGAAAGCTTCGGTGGAGATTGGCCTATTTTCACTTCACGCCCGTTCTATTCCAAATCCTTGGATTTGTCTGGACTCTCAATCCGTTCTGCAACGCCCTGTCGACGAAGAATTCTTCCCGAGGGGACGGTTGATTTGTTCTGCAACCTTGGGAAGCACTCTGAAGCGACCTGTAGTCCTGTCGAAACCGCCCATCGAACGATTCTACAAACTCCTCGTCGTCGCCCATATCGCTCGATTGACGATACAGGCGCGCATCGTCTGTCAATCTCCCTCCCTCGATCTCGGCGCCCATCATGCCCGAGCCCGATAATGTCGCCGCCTCAGGCGGTGGCAGCAATTCGAGCGATTTTGTAAGCCCGCAACCCATCTTTGAGCCCCATCAGACGCTGTAAATCTGTTTACTAACTTTCTGTACGCAGGTGCGCAAACTATACAAGTTCGAATATCTCTCGACACTAGCCATCAACCGCTTGCTAACAGTTGCGACAGAATGTTGGAGGACCCAGCCTATGCGAACATCGTGAGATGGGGAAATGAGGGTGACACTTTTGTCATTCTAGAGGTGCGCCGAAATTGGAATACCGCGGTGGAACAAGGGACTGGAAGCTGACTTGCTCCCAGACTGACAAGTTCACCAATGATATTCTCCCAAAACACTTCAAGCACAGCAACTTTTCAAGCTTCGTTCGACAGTTGAACAAGTATGACTTCCACAAGCTGCGTCGCAATGACGAGAACAACGAATCGCCTTACGGGAAGCAGGTAAGAGACGAAACATCTTCAGCCAAGCCTACATTGCTGACAACGCATGCAGGCGTGGGAGTTCAAGCACTCGGCTTTCCGGGCTGATAGAAAAGACAATTTGGACAATATCAGACGAAAGGCTCCAGCTCAAAGGAAAACGCAGCAGACGGAGGACCAGTTCACTACTAACCAATCCATCAACCTGCTACAAGAGACGCTCTTTGCGCAACAACAGCAGGTGCAGGCACTGCAAGAGCAAGTTGCCGAGATGGCGCGGACCAACAAGACGCTTGTCCATGAAGTCCACACGATGCATAAGATCATCGACGCCCAGCGACAGTCGCAACACGAGATGCTCAACTTCATGTCGCATGCTGAGGACAGAATGAGGGGTCAACGGTACCCAGGACAGAACCCGCAGATGAACGGAGGCGCCATGGATGACCAGCCTCCTGAGCTCCGACGTGCAAGAGAGCTCCTTTCCAGTGTAACAACCAACGTCGGGTACGATCGAGAGCTCGAGAGGCTTAACGGCATGTACGCGCAAAGCTCTCCGCCCGATTCCGCGTCTTCCCTCATGTTCCAGCCTGGCCAGGCCGGAATGCCACCCATGCTGCCCGAACACATGAACATGCGCCACCTCGTCTATCCTGTAGGTGAGAACGTAGGCATCGACCCATTGTCCCAGGACCACTTCAACAATATCCCATACACGCTGAATTCTTTGCCAATGAACGACTTCCAGGCTCCACCCGTCGTTAAGCCGGAACCCGGACCGGCCACGCCAGCTCCTGCCGCTGCTGCGCCAGCACGGCCGCCGTCGACGAACGATAAGGGTCTGTGGGGCAACAAGAAGCCGCGAGTGTACTTGGTCGAGGATGACAGGACGTGTTCGAGAATCGGATCCAAGTTCCTGACGCAGATGGAGTGCATCGTCGAGCTTGCTGTGAGTCTCTTCCATTTGCTTCAATGGGCAAATCTTGGCGATAGTCGTGACATGGGATACTGACTACTGACAGGAAAATGGTATCGACGCCGTCAACAGATGCAAAGAGGTTCCATCTGGCCATTTCGATCTGATCTTCATGGACATTGTCATGCCGCAGATGGACGGTGTGTCCGCGACACAACTCATCCGCGAACTTCACCCCGACGTCCCTGTTGTCGCCATGACCTCGAATATCCGCCCCGAAGACATTAGCCACTACTTCAACTGGAGTGAGTTTTCGATCGCACTTGCGTACGTGAGCAACAAATACTAATATGTTCCCCCATCAGGCTTGAACGATGTATTGGCCAAACCGTTTACCAAGGACGGCATGTTGCGCATTCTCCGGAAGCATGTGCCACACCTCCTGAAGAACGCCCCACCAGATGAGCTCGCCGTAGGCCACGGCGCGGCTCAGCTTCACGCCAATAACAATACCAACAACATGACGGCACCACCGATGAACCCCCAAGTCAAGTTCGATTCCACACCTGGCCAGTCACCAGCGACGACGGCGTCGTGGCACTCGCCCGCACAGATGCATCAGCCATCACCGAACGTGACAAACATCGAGACTGGATATCCGATGGCAAACACTGCGCAAATGGTGATGACGCCAACGTCCGCTCATCGACCGACGTTCCAGAACATGCCTCCTGGTATGCAACAAATGCGCGTGCCTGATCACATCGTCGGCGACGACCGACCAGAGAAGCGCCAAAGGTTATACGGACCGCAAGGTGGATACGCTTAAGCAAACAGTTCGCCGGTGTTACTAAGCGATCCTTCCTCCCATCGTGTTAAACGGTGTGATGACGAGACATCTTCGAGCGGGTGCTGAGCATCGGATGAAGTTGAAGGGGGAAGCTTCTGGGCCCCCCTCGCGCATGATTTTCGCATCGCCGTCTTCGAGAACCCGGGGACAGTCTCAACACAAACAACTGTCTTATCTCAGAAAGAATAGGGGAGTTGCATAGTAGTCTATGTTGCATTCAGCCCACATACCCGAGAGAGGGCGACTGATGATGTCCCAACAGAGGACATGTCGCCAATCGGGTGTCGGCATGGGTTTAACGAACGAAGCAGAGTCGGTGACAGTATCCGACCTTGCGAGGAGAGTTTCGGTGATAGGAGTTGGTGGAGTACCATGGTTCGCATTTTGGAAACCCTAGGTGGTTAAAGGCGAATTTGAAAAGATATCTGCTGTCAGCTACACGGGGCATATGTTACCCATCGTCATAAAATACCTTTCTCTTTTTGCCCCCACTGACTGACGGTTGGACATTATATGGAAGTGATGTTGAACAAGATCAAGTCGAAAGGTTGCGGTGCGTGATGCTGTTGGTGATAGCGGCACCAACCCAGCGGTGTATGTCAGCACGAGAAACTCGGGCCTGCTGAGCCCACAGTGCCTGTCCTCTGGACCTTTACCAGGACCCTGATAAGTGAAAAAGGGTCCTCCCGTAAGCCTCCACCGTATACGGCGTATACGGAGTAGAGGGTGCTGCCACTAGGTACCAAGACGCTCTGCTAATACTGAAGACTGAGATCTCTTGGCCACAGTGAGAGCCCAGACTCAGGTTCACGCCAGATCTTAAGGGTGTACGGAGTAGGACCCTCCCCGATCCATGCGGGTAGGACGCGCAGTGTGCAGGCGGGAAGCTTTTCGGGAGGGGGTGGTGGTGTCTGTGTGGTTGTTGCGGTTGTGGTACGGTACGGTACGGTAACGCCCCCCCGCATGGGATGGGGGACGGGATGGATGGGATGGTCGATGGGTGAGGTCTAGGCCCGGCCGTGTGGCGCCGGGTGGTCTGATGTGCCGGGGTCCCTGACAAGGAGGTCCGGAACGGTCTGGACCATCCCTCTTTTTTTCTCCTCCGCAATGAACTGCGCGTGTGTTCCACAATCCAGGAGGGACGGGACCGAGGGATCCAAAATCTAGATTGGGCTTTTTTTTTTGTTTTCGTCTGAAAGTATCGCTGGTCCGCTGCTGCCGGTGGCCCACACCACGACCGTTGGGGATTCTCTTGCTCCTCTTTCTTGGGGTCCGGCGGATTACCGGAGATTCGGCCGGGGATGATGGTGGTGGTGAAAGTCATCGGTTCGTAGGGCTGGGTGGATGGGATTCTAAATTTTTCTGCTCCCCGGCTGGGGTCTGTCGATTTGCCCACTGTTCCATCGATCTCGCATCGTGACCTGTGAAGAGGGTGAACAGGCAGTAGAAAAAGATCCAACGGTGGATCTCGACACGAGGAGACACGAGGAAGGACTTGCAGAGATGATCCGGGAGATCGGCGAACGCTGGGGGGGGCGGCGGCGGGGAAGGAGGATGATCTTTCTGGGGGTTTGACGTCGAGAAAGGGCTCGTACGAAGTAAGGTAGGTAGAGGAGCAGGAGATCAAAACAGAAGAAGAAGTGCCTGCGAGAAGGGATGCCGTCTGATGTGGGAGGCCACGAGAGTTTATGCTGCTGCAGGCTCTACCATCCGTTCGTAACCTCCGACGACACGATGGGAAGGGTAGGGGGGCTGGCAGGCTGGTCGCTGGCAGTTCTGGCCCATGGGCCGAGACTGGACTCTTGTTTGTGTAAGCGGCTTGTGCTTCTCGAGCTCCGAGGCCGTTTGATGGGTAGTCCGGGCCAGACCACCAGCCAGACCACCTAGCCCATGACGGGGTCCAGACTCCCCGAGGTTTGGCTTGCTGACGTTTGGTTTTCTTTTGGGCCGCTAAACTTGTCAACCTTGTGTCGCTGCGGAACCGAGCCAGACCAACCCAGACCAAAGAAGGGATAAGATGAAGATGAGACGATAGCATCCGGACCTAGAGCGAGGTAAGCAGGTGGTGAAAAGGTAGCGCCGGTTCTTGGCATGTAGTTCAAATGACGGAAAAAATGAAGCAGAGCGCGGGAAGTTTCCGTTTGACTTGGTATAGATACGCGAGAGGCTTGCGCTGTACGGAGTATGGGTTTCTGTCTTGCGGTTAGCGGGGAGGGATGCAGAACAAGTTTGAGGCTAGTTTGGTCCAGTTCACCTGCCCGAGATGTTCTGGGGGTGTTCTTACCAACTGAAGCAGACAAGGTTCTCATTAAAGGGTTCGGGTCACCGGTGAAAGCAGGCAAGCTAGACGGCGAAGCGAGGCGACCGCGGGCGAAACGAACTGTTTTGCCCATACGGACAGTCGACCAGTGGACCATCACCGTAAGTCCCGTTATCCGGTAGACGGCGACATCGTAATCTATACTGTGCTACTGTTAAGTTTTTTTTCTGCATCCTGCAAGGCATGGGAGGGGCAGGGCACAAGGAAGGAAAAGAATGGTTTCGTTACAAGGGGGGGGGAGGGGAGAGATGGTAGCTGCTGCTGCTTTCCTGCAGGGTGCGGCTAAGTGTGGGCGAGATTGCGGTCTATATGACGGAGGTGGTGTGAGCTTTTTGGGATTGTTACACACACACACAAACGCAGACAACAACTTACACGCATTTAAGTGTGTGCGAACCACCACCACCAGCCGCTTGCCTTTTCCACGGGAACCTGCAGCGGCCTGGGCCCAGACCTTCTTCTCCTTGTTGGATCGGTCTAGACTTTTTCTTCTTTTGAAGGCTGGCGCGCAGAAAGATTTTGCTGTTTTGTTTCCCCCTGTTGCCTTGAGACCAGGGGGTTGTGGTTGGATTGTTGGTTGAGAGCTTTGCACAGCATCTGCCTTCTCGATGTACCGTAGAGAAAGCGCTGCTGCAGCATGAAAGAGCCAAGACCGAACAGATGCATCACATTAAAAATAGTTCTATGCTTAGCGAACAGAGAACGGATGGGTTGAGATAGGTTTGGCAACCTTGGACTTTGTACTGTCATTCATCGTGTTGGCGCAGATGCAGCAAACTGACAAGGGAGGATTGGAAAATGCTTATATAGTGGGCTTCGGGCCGGCGTCAGCCCTCTCGGAGTGACAATATTAGGAGTCTCTCTCTCTCTCTCTGTCTAGGTGTGTTAGGTCCGTTCGTGGTTCTTGTACCACTCATTATTGTTTCTTGGCAGCGAAAGGGGGAAGTCCGAACGTGTTCCAGTGTTCCAAGAAACACATAGTCACATACCCAGCCGCAGATTCAATCTGAATACCAGCCCGCCGGTGCCGCCCTTGTTTCTTTCTACCCAGAACAAGCTCGTGGGGGATGGGTCTTGGGCTATCAGACAAGTGTCTCGTGTCCGAGGCTGGCTGGGAGGCTCAGGTGGGTGGGGGCTAAAGGACCGGAGAATTCTGCGTGGCAATCTCCCGTGGTCCCTTTTACCCCCTTCCTAGATTTGTGGGAACATATCTGCCTGCTTGGAGTTACAAAACAATCTCTCTGGATTCTGGGTAATATTCTGCCCATGCGAATGGAAGGCATGTATGGGGAGGAGGAGGGGGGGTGGTGATTGGGTAACGTATTCGTAAGAGAATACCCCCTCTGACACAAATCTACACTTGATATCAAAAACTACAACTCGGTCCCCGAACCCCGTGGCATCTCTTGACTAGGTATTAAATTGAATATTCCAGCGGACTTCTCCGATGTCTTCCGCCAGCCACGTGAGATTCTGAAGAGTGTGGACAGCCGCATAGCCCGGAGGAGACGAAAGATGACCGCACCGCTTGCAAGATGAGAAGCGAAGAAAAAGCAAAGAAAGAGACATCCGACAGGTAGAAAGGTTTTTCAATGACCTGATCACCTAAGATGGTTTAGTATGGCATTTTTCAAGCCATGCGAGTCTCTCAGTGACAGTTTGCGAGACAGGTTCAAGTCACTTGCAAAGAGAAAGTGTCCCAACCGTGGGATGTCACTGCCTACCTTCCCAAACGCCTCAGTACCCGTTGAGTAGAAGGTATCGAAAACAAACAACGTCTTGCATTCTGTATATGCACGTGTAAATAGGATTTCACTAAAACCTAAATGTGTGTCTACTTGGGATTTGATCATGGTGAAAAGGGCCGTTTTCGTCCTCTTCGAGGCACGTTGTGTAACGTCTTGTTTCTCTTGGGGATGCCTCGCCATCAATTGGTTCATTTGGCAACCAGACAATCGTGGAATTCCGGCAGAGAAGCATGTCGTTGGGTCACGTTTCCCACCTTGGCTGCTAAGCGCCTGTCTCTCAATTACACCAGTCCGCACCTTCCTCCCCGGAGTCTACCTAAAGTACCGTTGTAGAGGATCTTTACTTCGATATCTATCACCCACGTTTGTATCGAAAAGGAGATAACCGGCAAGGACAAATTGAAAATAGTCTAGGTCATCATCTGCAGGTAGATTCGCTTGTCACACAGCCGTCGGCCGTATCAAAAGTCCAAGTGTATGGACCGCTCTAGATCTCATTTTCGAACACAAGCAGGCAACACTGAACTTTGTCATTTCGATTCCCTCGTAAGACTGACAAGACTTGTTCGCAGCTACGTGCGTCCATGTTGCTCCCTAAGTCTATTATTCCGAACTCGTATCAGCATGTCTCAATGCGACCCCAAACTCTCTTTCGGTTCTGCATGTATTGAATCCGAGTCTTGTCGTCATGTAGGTTCTTCCAGGCTTGAGACTACCGTCAGCCATGAAATCCAAGGTCTGAGGACAGAGTGACAATTCTACATTTCCAGCAAGCTTCAAGAGAAAGGAATAAGTGAAGAAAAAACATGCGATTGTCAGACCTGCGTTAGGGGTTTCCCATATCATCTGATGGCCATAGAGCCCAAAGTCTCTCCATCAGTACGTACGGGTAACATACCCCTGGGGAAACAAAAGGGAGACTTCCAGCCAAAGACGGACTAGCCTCGTACATGAAGCAAGCATGCATTATCATGCACGTCTTCGGAGGTGGGATGGGCGTACCTAGGGCTAATCACACAAAGCCGCTTAGTTCCAATCACTTCCTCCCTTTCGTGTAACGGTCTGGGCCCCCAACCCCAATGCTTAGGAAACAAGATCCTGTCAGCCGTTTGAACGTGCTACTACCGTGGACCATTCCACTCCTGACATTTTTTTCCCCTACTGCATGCATCAGCCGCAAAGTTGGCTAGGCCTCGGCATGCTGTGGCGTTTGACTTTATTTGGTATGTTGGGTCAAGAGCTTCGATCTTGGCCTTCGGGTGGTTTGATCCGGGATCTGGAACTTTAATTCCGTATAAGTGGTCTGATTTTTGGATCCGACGAGATTCTATGTGGGTTGGATGAGCATGATGAGGGATAATATGACTGAAAGGGACGGATCAAGGACCGTATTCTCGGCATTCGCCCGACGGTCTTCAATATCGATACAGGCTGGGCCCTACGGCGCCGTGGGAGTGGCTGGCTGTGTTTTACTTTTTTCAGATTTCTCCCGTATTTCTGTGAGCAGCGGCTTTGGATGCGACGTGCATCTGTAAGACAATTGTTGGCAGATTCTCGAGGCATACCCGTCTTTCTCGTCGAGTGTGGTAACCATAGGCGTCCCCTGCGCCCCTTCTTCCTGAGTTGCTTGGGTCGATGTAGGGCGTCCGACGTACTACATCAACTCCATCTGTGTCACACCAGAACTGCCCAAATACGCGTCTCGACGATGTCCATGTCTGAATCATCGGCAATCCGACATTTTGATGGAACTCTGAATAGGCGTTTCTGTAAGATCGCTAACTGCCAGCTGCCTCTTATCCAGTAGTGTTTGGCTTTGGAACATGTGGTGGCATCTTCTCAAGAGTCTGACTGTGGCGGTACGCCTACCTCCGTTATCTTGGAGATTTTCTCTGCGAGTTGTCGTGTAGTCGCTGGCACACACATCATCAGTCTGATGCTCGAGTCTCAAGCTAAGTCCTCATGTTTCATTAATAAAGATAGCGTTATCCTATCAACTACTAGATAGCGTCACTATATCCGTCTTCTGTCTCTCTCTAATCCTACTCTATTCCTCTGATATCCGCCTATGAATAATTTGGAAATAGATCAAACTTGGAGAAAGACTGGAGACGGATATAGTGACGCCGTCTCGTAGTTGTGGGATATCCTATCCTTATGACCATGGTTCGACAATCTTTCACAAAATCTTATCTGCGAACCACTTTCTGTTTGAACACCATATTGAAGCTCGCCTCTACTTACATTATTTGGTTGCTACTCTGCAGAAAACCAATCATCAGCTTATTCCCACGTCTGTTAGTTGAAAGTGCCTGCCCATTGAAACCCGATGAGTCGAATCGAGAACGAGGACGGAAATTAACAAGTACGGGACAGCAGGTAGGTTGAACTCGAAGCAAATTTTGTTGTCAAAACAACCACTGTGTTATCTCCTTTGGAATCGCTTGCTCAGTTATTGGGGCAAGAGGCGGCCGGTCGCCGGAGCAAGGGCCGAACGCGGATTCTCGTTGATAACCATCGAATGCATGGTGTACCCACGAGGGCAATGCTATGTACCTACCTACGTAAGAATAGGCAGAAGGAACCTATCCGTTATCTAAATTCTTCATGTTTGATATGAGTGAAGCCCTCGAAGGACCGGTTCTAGTCTTTCAAGTTCATGCTGTGAGCAATGACCATGTTAGGTCATTCTTCCAACTCAAGACCCCGACAAGCCGGCTTGACTTCGCCCGATTACTGAACAGCGTCATGAAGGTGTTTGGACGACTCAAACCTAAACGCCGAACCTTTTAACTGACTTTTAATACTTGCCTGTTATTAATCAGACAAACCGCGTGAATTTGCATCTATGCCTCCATGTTGAGCGAGGTTGAAACCTTCGCTTAGTCAAAATCGAAGTCCTTCCACACACAATGAATTCTGATTGATAAACTGTGGCATGCATTCCTCGCATAAGAAGTCATCTTGTTCGCATTGCCCCGCTAGTAACTCCGGCGCCTAGCAAGTAAATGACTCCGAACGTACCAGGAACCCGCAGCATCCAGCAGGCATGCTACCATTCTGGGTTCTAGCAAGCCCTAAGCGGAAGTTCTGAGGACGCAATCTCCACAGCCACGACTTTGGCACCTTCAGTCACTGTTCCATTAACAGGCGCAGCGAGGGCGCCAGAAGTGCTGACGTAAAGTGCCTCTCCCTCGTCCCCTTTGCCGAACACGACGGCGGTTGATCCCGCCACGAGCAAATTGTCCTTACTACCGACGACCGTCGTAGTAACTCTTGTTGTAGTATCAACGCAAGTGACACTATTGTCGAAGTTGGTTGCAATGTACACACCACCATTGCTCCCGAAAGCGAAGTCATCGGCAACCGTGAAACTGCTCGACAAGTTCGCGACGAGTTCAGGCATGGCATCTGGGACGGAGTATCCTAGTAGATTGATAGGCATGCGGAAGAGTGAGAAGAGGAAGGAGTTGGTCCAGTAGAGGTACGAGTCTCGAACGCGGATGCCGTTGACGCCGATCGTGAAAGAAGCCCCCGGAGGAGTCGCTCTCTCCTGGAACACAAAGGTGCTTGTGCCAAAGTCGTGTGTGGTGACGTTGAGATATCCGACGATGCCGACAGTGGAGTCCGAGATGAGAACCGCGTTGTTCGCGCTGGGTATACTTGCCACACCATTGTGGAAGGCGCTCTGCTCACTCGTGTCCGAGATCTTGCGTGCCTTCACGTGCTCTCCATGAGTAACAACGAAGCTCACGCTCTAAGCACTGAACTGTCCCTTGACGGGATCATTCAGGCCAGTCTGTTTGCCGCCGATGACGATGTAGGTTTCATGGCCCGAAGACACGGAAACCTGAGCGATGCCGTGGAGACTCTGGACAGTTGGTAGATGAACAAGTTTTTCGAGACGGGAGTGATTCTTGGGAGGGGGAGAGATCTATATATATCTATATATATATAGATAGATATGATGGATTCATGATTGCCGCATTCACGAGTAAGGTCTTGTGTGTGTCCCTCTCTGGTGCCATCATGATATCCCCCTCCTTGTTGACTGATGGTTTGTGTCCAGTTGGCACGCCATTCGATCACTTGGGATCCGTCCATCGTGAAGATGGCCGAAGCAGTGGATTCGTGGGCGAATGCGTTGAACTGCCTTCCATAACTTTGGGCAGCCACAATGAGCGCTTTTGCCGTCGAGGTCGAGGTAGTGGTCTTCGCATGGAACCTGTGGTGGGCTGTATGTAACGAGGATGTCGACATCCTTGCATATTGGTCTCGGACCGCGAGTCGTACTTTTGCCTAGGTCTTCTAGCTCTGTCTCGGCCGGGTTGAACCTATCTTTATGCGGACCGTACGAAAACGCGTATCTGTAGAATCCGGTTGTGTAAGGTGAGGCGTATAGAGTACAGGACCGACCATTCCTGAGGGTGAATGAATGATATCCTTCGCTCAGAAGATTGAACCCGGATTGCGAAAATAGGTCAGTCGCTTTCTTCGGCTCCTCAAGATCATCGTCTTCATCTGCATTGTTGGTCTACCACGTAGGATCCAAAGATATATCATGGTTTCCGGGGATCACAAGCTTCAGCTCGGCGTCGCAGTCCGAAAGACTTTTGATCGCAGCTTTGTAGTTTGACATGCCGCCAATCATTGTCAGATCGCCGCAGTGCAGGACGACATCTGCCGGAGTGAGCTCCGATGGAAAGGCGGAGTCGTGGTTGTCCGACAGAACGAGAAAACGAACGTTGGACTTCGCCGTTGTGGTGTTGAGGGATGAATACTGGTTGTGAAATGAGAGTCCGGTTGAGATGTGAAAGTCGAATCAAGAAATGGAGGTCGAGTTGAAGGATTGTGCAATTGGATGAAGTTCGGATCTAGATAGACATCTACTTATGTTCCAGAGAAGGGGTTGATTATTTGTGCGTGGAAAGCCAAGAGACCAGAGGGGTTTCTATAAAAATGCGACTAGAAATCGGCCAAGGTTACCATGCTTCTGTAGATCCACGGTAAACACTTTCCCTCAAGGTTCCTAAGAGAGAGTTTCTAAAGCTACACTTGGAAAGAATAATCAGGTTTGAGGCTGAGAACGATCTCTGTATGCTTGACTTGTCCCGTTTTCTATGCTCTTCTTTGCACAAGTCTATCATGGATCACTGGGGGAGACTTGTGTCAGTGGATCACAATTCACTTGTTCTGTAATCGTTTTGTTTCACCCCAATGATTCGGATGGAAGAGTTAATCTCGAGTAAACTATCTCATAAACTGCTAGATGTCTTTGATTTATATACACACATACTTCTATAGGGTGAGATCAAAGAATTCCTTAGTCCGGCCCTATTTCCAGGTACGCCTATGAATAATTTCGAAATGTAGCAGAATCAGAAAGGCTAGAAACGAAAATACCGACGCTATCTAATATTGAAGGGAGTATTGATGCGTTGAATATAATTAGAAAATTATCAAGGAGCAAGTGAACCATCTACCTATGCGCCACTTCAATCGGCATTTGATTTAACTGAGTAGAGTCTAGAGTAACAAACTCTGTCGGGATACTCGGTGAACATTCTCACCGAGACAGACCGAGGCAGGGTTGACGTATGACCCACCCCGCCCCAGGGCCGTTGAGTCACTCACCTTAAATTTCCAACTCCCAAGCATGCGACCTGGCTTTGACTCACGACCCCGCGACCAGCACAATAAATCCCCCAAAGCGCCCACCAACGCCCTTGCGATCCACCTTAGCACACGATGTCGCAGCAAAAGGGAAAGGCCGCCGCCGGCAAAGGTAAGAAGTCCGGCAAGGCTGGAGGTGAGGGCAAGCGCGAGGATGTCCTACAGGCCGTGGTAAGTCTGAAGCGTCATGGTGGGGCAGGCATGGTGATGGGTGTTGAATTGGCTAACGTGGTGGCTTTCCTCTTCGCCCATTGCAGCTCATCGCCGACTCCTTTCAAGATAGGTTTGCTCCCTTTTCAGCAGAGAAGCCAAGAGTAAGTCATGAAACTTGTCCCAAAGTTATGCGACGACGCCTGACCTCCAGCCCGCAGTGCCTTCTACCCCTCGCAAACACGCCCCTCATCGAGTATACCCTCGAGTTCCTCGCCATGAATGGCGTCCAAGAGGTCTATATCTACTGCGGCTCCCACTCCGAACAGATCGAGAACTACATCAACACATCACGATGGTCCCCTATGTCCATCCGGACCCCGTTTACGAGCCTGCAGTTCATCCGCGTATCCGACGCTCGCTCAATCGGCGACTTCCTCCGTGACCTTGACGGACGTGGCATTATGGATGGCGACTTTATTGTGGTACACGGGGATGTGGTGTCCAACATCTCACTCGATGGCGCGCTGGCGGCACACAAGGCGCGCAAGGAGGCCGCTGCGACGAATATCATGACGGTGGTCCTGCGATCAGGCGGCGCGGAGGAGCACAGAACTAAGCCCAACGGAATCAACCCCGTCTTCGTGATCGACTCAAAGACGAAGCGTTGTTTACACTACGACGAGATAAATCCCCTCCAAAGCGACCACTACATGACTCTCGACCCTGCTGTGATCGACGAGCTCTCAACGGACTTTGAGATGCGGGGCGACCTGATCGACGCGGGTATCGATATCTGCACTCCCGAGGTACTGGCGCTGTGGTCCGAGAGCTTCGACTACGAGCTCCCGCGGCGGAATTTCCTGCACGGTGTCCTGAAAGACTGGGAGCTGAACGGCAAGGCGATCTACGCAGAGGTCCTCGAGGACGGCTACGCGGCGCGCGCGAGCAATCTCCAAATGTACGAGTCGATCAGCAAGGACGTCCTCGGGCGATGGACATTCCCCTTCGTTCCCGACTGCAATGTCATTCCTGGACAGACGTACAAGATGACCAGCGGCGCAGTATGCGTCGAGGACGGAACAGTCATGGCACCGACCAGCAAGATTGCCCGGTCAATCCTCGGCCAGGGAGCCACCGTGGGCGCCGGCAGCACGGTAACAAACAGCATCATCGGCAGGCGGTGCAAGATCGGCAACAACGTCCGTATCGAAAATAGCTTTATTTGGGACGACGCTGTAATCGAAGACGACGCGGTCATCACACGCTCCATCCTGGCCGACTCAAGCATCGTAGGCAAGGGCTCCGTCGTCGCCGCAGGCTCCCTCCTCTCCTTCGGCGTAATCCTCAGCGACAACAGCAAGATCCCCGAGGCCACCGTCCTTGCAGTCACCACACATAACGGCTCGCCCGTCAACCCTGACAAGTCCCTCGTCGGGCCTTCAGGTAAGGGCGCTCCCTACGTCGACCCCGAGGCCGAAGACATGGACGACGAGGACCCCTCGACCCTTCAGCGCTCGCTCCTCTACAACCTCGCCCACCTCAACCTGTCCACCTCGACAATCTCAACCCTCTCCTCCGACATCGACGACGACGACTCGGACGCTGGCGATGGCATCACCCAATTCTCCACCGACTCCCGCAACCGCGCAGACTCGTTCGTCTCAGACGACTCCCAGGGCAAATCAGGCTTCCACCACGACGCAGTCCACGGCCTCCTCGACGCCCTCCGCGCCGAATCAGGCGACTTCGACTCCGCCAAGCTCGAGTTCATGGGCCTCCGCCTCGCCAACGACGCCTCGGACGTAGCCATGCGCAAGGCCGTCGCCATCGCCTTTGCCCGCCGTGCCGCCGAGCTCCTCGAGCCCGAACACGGCGGCCTCGAGCCCGCAAAGGCCGCACACACGACCTTCAACTCCAACAAGGGCGCCTCGAAATTCGTCTCCGAGGTCGGCGTCGGCGGCGGCGAGACGGAGCAGGTCGAGTTTGTCCTCGCGCTGCAGCGCGCTCTGCTTGGATGCCGGAACCTTGAGAACGCGCGCGCCGGTGTGCTGCTCGCGGCAATGCTGCAGCAGCTTTATGGGTTGGACATCCTCGAGGCGGAGGGTATCTCGGCTTGGTGGGAGGACGATCGCGCCGAGGATGGCGCGGGCGAGGGCATGGCGGCGCTTAAGGAGAAGTGTCGGGTTCTCGTTGAGTGGCTGGAGGAAGCTGATGAGGAGGACTCTGATGACTCTGATGAGGATGACGACTAGGTGTTGGCATCTCGGACTGCATCTCGGGAGTTATGAGGGGGCCAAGCGGGAGAGAGAAACAGAGGAAGAAAACATACTCACACGATTGTCTGTGGTAGAGATTTGATGAACGACAAGGCTTGCGCAGCGCATTTCATACTGTAGTGGACTAGCAAGAAGGGGTCGGGACTTATAAAAGTTACGGTAGAATAAGAATCAAAGAATACGTTAAACGGTAGACTCGTGAGCTTCATCTGATTAGAATCTCATTAAACCAATCACCGCGGCATGCCAGTTGGGACAACGGATAAAACGACTTGCTTGTATTGCAAGGCGACTAATAAGGTATCATATCAAATGCATAAGCCCTCCAAAAACGCCGAGCTGATACCTGGGCCAAAAAGATTGCGAAACTCCGGTCCTCATCACCTTGTGATCCCCCCCGACTTTTGTTTTCTCGACTACGCAGCAGAACTCAGATGATGGCGAAGCTCACGATCCCCGAAACTGGACAAAGCCTTGTCCTTGAACCGCAGCCGACGACTGCATAGCAGATTCATCTCCGGGACCTATTCTTCTAGTAATAGTTCTGAAGATCGCTGCTGTTGCCTGCGCCGCCTCCATCACCTCCGTAATTACCACCACCACCGCCGCCGCCGCCGCCCATGAGACGACCGGCTGGGCCAGTTGGGGCATTTGGCGGAGGTCCCGAGTTCCACGCGCTAAGCGGAGGTTGGTACTGTTGTTGTTGACTCCCTTGGAAGCCGCCTTGCTGCTGCGACTGTCCCGGGAGGGACGGGTAGCTGTTGTCATCGTACTCGACAGTCTGTCCGTATCCTCCCTGCTGATTCCGGGGCTCGACGTCGTCGAGGGAGCGGTAGCCGTGCATGCCACGTCCGCCGCGGCCGCCCTTACCGTTGCCACGGCCTCTGCCGCCTCTTCCTCCACCGCCGCGGAAGCCACCGCCACCACGACCACCGCCTCCGCCTCCGCCTCCGCGTCCAGAATGGAAATCGCGGCGCTCGTTGCGGCCGTTGTAAGGGTTGTGTCGGTGGTGATCGCGTGAGTAGTCGCCGCCGTCGTGTTTCCGCTTAGAAGACTTGTTGGCGAAGAGCGATTCGTACTCGTCCTCGCGGGGGTCCTCTGGCTCGATGCGTAGAATCATCTTCTCTCCAACCGTGGTCTCAAAGGTCATTGCCTTATCGGCGGGGATAGGCTGCCAATTCTGAATCTTGCCGGCATCCACAGGGCGGGCGCCCTTTCGGAGGGCGAGAACGACGAGAGGCGACGGGTTGTCTGTGTGAAATTTCGCGGTGGCAGGAACGGGTCGGAGGCTCGCTGCCCAGATGCTGTTCTCAAAGCAAGCAGTACCTGTGACCTCCCACTTCATCTTGCTTCCCATGCCTCCGACCTTTTCCAGGATGCTGGCCGGGCAAGGACGCGGGCAGATGAGAATGTTGTTGGCGTGGAACTTGAGCTCCTGCTCGGGCAATCCAGGGGGGATTTGGGCCATCTTCATCAACTGCGCCGTGTCTTCCTTGCTGATCAAGTAGCCTGTGAAATAGACAGTCTTCTTGACTCTCAGCCGTTGCGGACGGACGTCAGATGACTGCTTGCCAATCTCCTCATTGTGAAGGTTGATCATGTGCTGCACCTCGGCAACCTCAACCACGGGGTCCAGCGTCGTCGACATGTCTGCGACCTGGACAACCTCCGCCGTAATTGGGCCGCGTGTGCGAGTAGCATGGATGTTCTGCTTGCGGTTATAATCGGTCATGAAATCTCTGAACCCCTTGACATGTTTCGGACGGTCTTCATAGATGCGGATCTCTTCGGCGTTCTTGTACGTCTCCATTACCGCAGTGAGGAAGAGCTGCTTAAAGTGCATCGTACTCGAAAAATTCTGGTTCGTCGGGCTGACAGCAGGCTTAAGTCCAACCATGTCGAACTCGAGCCCCTTGCTCGCAGTCATCCTCTTGATGAGCTCCCCGAAGCCTCGCTCGGAGCGGCCCGTCAGCAGCACGCACAAAGCGTCCTTTTGCTTGACGCTCAGCTTCACCAGTTCGACAATCTTTTCATTCCACCAGCCCTCCCAGGCGCGCTTCTCCTCCGTGTCGGCGCCCTCGCCCGTGGCTGAGAGGATTCGGGAGTCGTGCCACCAGCCGCCGTTGCAGATGACGTCTTGACTTGACAACACGCCGATCGTAGGGCCGCTCCATAATGCGGGGTTCGGCAAGGGAGTTTTGAAGACTGCAGGAAGGAGATGACATTAGCTTTGCATTGAGCGGATCTGCGAAGCAATCACGCAACGCGGAATGGGGAGGGACGGAGAGAAAGAGAGGGCATCTTTACGTGTGTTGTCAAAGTCGTAGATGTGCAGGGCCTTGATCTTGTCGACGGCGGGCAGCTGTGTCGTCGCGATGCTCCATCTGCTCAGTGCAGTCGGCGTCGCAGAGGATGTCGAGTAGGCCGCCTTAGCAGAGCCATTGGCGTATGCGGACGTCATGACTCGGCGGGTGAATCTGGAAGCTGCCAACATGAATGTTGACCAGACTTCGAAATTCCGAGAGAGGTCGAGTGGGAATTGTTCAAAGAGCGGGTCGTCGATACGGGTCGCGAGCGCGCAGAACCAGGGCAGTGGGCTAGGGGACTCGAGCTTTGCTACAGCGGTAGGTGCGACCACGGCTTGTGCCAGTAGGAAGTTTTCCCAGCCGTTGGCTTTGTGGGGCTGTCCCGTCATCAGGGGGAGGCAAGTCCCTGAAGAGCTGCTACCCATTCACGCCGCCACCTTTTGCGGCAAGCTTACCCACGGGTGTAGTAGCTGCTTATGTCATCGTGCAATTAGATAAGCAACGTCCGCCACTCTGAATACAAGGGAAATCACGGCCTGATGGCTTGCTAACAAAGAACAGGATTCAAGTTTTTAGAAGAATTAAGGATTCTTCCATGCATATTTTTGAATATCTTGATCATATGACGTTGACGAGTCCTCACTCAGTATAGAACTGATGAGCGTCGTTACTAAAGGCGCACTTTTCCGACGTCCCGACCATCCGCCCCACATCCGGCCCCGAAGTCCGCCGAAGTCAGTATGTCAAAGCCGGCGTAGGGTTCAAAGCTTCTCTGCTACAGGTTTTCTCCTCATGATTCAATTGGATGGTATTTTTCTGCAAAATACATATAATTTACAGAGTGGCTGTAGTTATACATTGCTCAATCAGGTAGGAAGATACTACTTACTTCCGTTGCTTTCAGATGGTGTACTATTACTCATAATGCAATAATTTTGCTTCTCTCCTCAAAGAGTATTCACAGGTTTGAGTAAAATGGGTACCATGAAAGATATTCACACACACCTAGAGTAAGATAGAGTCATCGACCTTTATACGGAGGGGAAGAACTATTGAGCTGAAGATTAAAGGATATCACAAACAAGACTTTATTCCTTGTAATCGATCTAGACCACTAATCTAGACTTTTTGAACTTGCGATGTGACATTACGGAGCACGGGAGTATGGTCGACAGCAACAGCTCCGGCGCATGAAGGCTGTGAAACCTGACCTGGATTGGTAGATGAAACACATCAAGAGGGATTCGGTAAAATGAAAGATGACAGTTTCTCTTGATTTTTCTTATTTTTTTGCAGTCTCGGCAGGACCAAACCCTGGCTAGATTCGTGCCTCTTACCAGCACTTGCTTCCGCCGAACCACCATTGGCGAGGCCTGCCGACAACAATTTGATCCTCTTCAAGGTTTTCGTATCCATCTTCCTCTTTGAGGCATCTCATCCCTTGCCGTGCCTGCCCGACTGAACAACATCTGCCTGCTTCATCTCATCCATCTTTGGTGCTCTCTCGCAAATCCTGTGTTCCCGTTCCCAAGCGAACATACAGAGGCCATACTTTTTGGCGTGTAAGTTCCAAACATCGACGGCTCCCAACATAAGAAAACATGTTTTGAGGACATACAGGCCCCTCGAGTCCATAAAATATCGGACATTTGTGAACAAGAAAAAAGAAAAACATAAAAAGATCAAGATCGGGGAGATTTCCCGCACCATAACGCCGAAAAAAGAGTAACCGAGTGCCTTTCCCATGGGTATTCCATGCCGCCTTTTGTGGCCCGACCGATGCAATGCGTACTCTAAAAAGTCATGCTCATGAACCAGCCAGGGTCCCTTCTCATCACATCATACCACTCCCACTTGTCCATCATTTGGACACCTCTTCCTCATTACTTCCATCAATTCTGCGTGTCAGAATACACGGTGTGGTATGCCGCCTACAATGTCGGGTCAATGGCGCCAGAATCAGACTGCTCGCCAAAGTCGAGGAAAGCGTCCCAATTATCGTTTACATTGGGTCCCGGGGTCGCATCATCGCTTTTCGGTTCGTCAAAACGAGACGCGTAAGGGTTAACGTGTCCGTTGAAGTACTCGTGCGAAGAAAGCGTAAGCTCATTCAAGTGCTGCTCATGTTTCAGGTCGGCCATCGAATGAGTGTCCGGATAGTACATGTGCTGCTGTAGCGGGTTGCCCATGAACATTTGAGCCATCGGGTCGTTCATGTCCAAGTTGGGTACCATCATCTTCGCGTCCATCGGCAATTCAGCAGTAAACGATGACTCAGGGGAGAAGAGGCTGTGGTCGATTGTTGTCATGGGCGAAGGGAAAGTCGAAGCGGTTCGCGTCGAAGGGGTGCCAGCAGCAGCGTCCGATGACGGAGACAATGCTGGCGGCGACTGAGGATGATCTCGCACCACCGGCGTGGCCATGTCCATGGGAGACGCCACTGACTGTGTTCTCTGGCGTTGGTACCGCTGGTTCTCGGGCTGGAAATTTACGGACGAAAAGCTCGGGGACATAGGGCTTGTAACCGCGTTCTCGGGCTGAGAGGGTTGCGACTGCGACATGGAACGTTGCCCAGAGACGGAGTACATCGAGTTCGTGATGTTTCGAGACAAAGCCTGTGCTTGCTTGTTGGCGTTCGGGAACTGCTCGGCGAACATCTTATTGATTGGGTTTTGGGCCCATTCCTCGTTGCGGAGCCCGGCTACCATGCTCGCCATGGCTACCCGATTAGCCAGAAAGGCATTGACACGGTAGTCAAACTCTGGGGAACCGGTCTGGAGGTGAGCTGCCAGCATTCGGTAAGAGCGAGGCATGTCATCTTCTTCCTCTTCGTACATTTCCTCGGCCTGGACAATAGCTTCAGAAATCTTGAATCCCTTGCCAGTACGCTTCTTATGAATCTCGCTGGCCATCTTGGCGGATTGGACACGGGCTTCGATGCTGCGGTCTGCGCGCCGCGAGGCGGCAATGTACGCACGCTCTTGATTCTCTTCGTGAGATCTCTCCGTCTGCGTAAAACTGGTCAGGCCTTGGGTCTGGCATTATGGATACTTCGTTGTGGCATATCAAACAGAACGAGGCAAAAAACTTGGTACAAGAGTGGCAAATACAACCAAAATGGGAAGTTTAAAGCCGCGGATACATTGGACAGAAAAGAATGTACTGGCTCGGCCAAAAGGGGAAAAAACATCACGGCTTGAACAGAGGCTTCGTACCTTCTTCTGTGCCCGTTCAGTCTGCATTGTGGGCGACAGGTTGCTGGCGTCCAAGGATCGCTTCGGCATTTTCGTTGACGTCGAGGACACTCGGAGATCGACGAGTGTTATAAGATAGTCGGGTGGTAATGTGGTCAAAGGTGGCTTGGCCAGAGAGGTAGGTGATGCGGGGTGCAGGCGTGTATTGGAAGCTTTTATTCACTTGCGGTGATGGGCTTCGTTGTGGCTAGAACCTTGAAGCCGGAATCACCTGATATCGCAATGAGGTCGGTCGGTCGAAACCTAGTTGTTTGCTAGGTGCGTAAAGGCGTCTGAGTCGTACGTTAATATATCGTGATGTCCGAAGATGGTTGCGTTTTGTGAGGGAGCTTGTCGGTCGAGGGACCAAAGGGGTGTGTGGAAGGTGAAGAGGCAAAACGTGGAACAGGGCGGTATCCAAGTCTTATACAATCCAAGGGTATGTGCTCGGGAGAAACGACCGGGTATTAGTCTCGAGCAGCGGAGCAGGGCAGAGAGGAAGAAAAAAGGCAGTGAACTGGATGGGCGTGCGGTGGAACAGAGGACAACCCGGAGCAATGTTCCATGCGAAAGTGTGGGAGAGGGTTCAGTCCGGGCGGGCGAGGTGAGAGACACAGAGAGAGGAGTGTGAACAGGTACATCTGGGGGTACATCTGATGCTGGGTTACTGGTTCGAGGATTGACCAGACAGACGGCCGGATAGATGTGACCGGGGGCATGGTACATGGGGGAGGGGTCAGGTTCGATTGTCTGTCTGATCTGTTACTGTTGCAGTGAGTAGTGAGTGAAATGGGACTCGGGTAGCTGGACTAGATACGCTAAGGAAACATAGGGTCGCGGTGGCACAAGCAGGCGCTGAGAAATACGGTAGTGCTGGCTGTGCTGCGGTCGGGGCAGTCCACCTGTGTTTCCCGTCCATAGGTGATGGCACAACCAAATGTCAGAGAGAAAGAGAGACGGAGAGGGACGGCAGAGTGAGAGGGAAAAGGGAAAGTGGCATTTCGACTGCTTTCGATCGCTAGTTGGCCGATCTGGGAGGGTTTGATCGGGTTACGCTCTGTTGATCGATCTCGATGAGAACCTGAGGGACTGTGTGCTAGGCCGACGCCCGTGGAGCAAAGTACCCAAGTAGTCACTCTGCACTTCATCGAATGGAAGGAAAGGGCTGCCCACACCCTCTCTGCCTCTCCTTCCATTTCCCCCAGTGCCCCCCTCGTACTCTACCTCTTTTGGATTAGCGCCGGGTCGTTTGGGAAGATGGCAACCACGGTTTGGTTGTGTTGGCAGGGGCTGGGTTCACGGCTAAGGCAGTCGCCAGTCGTATCGTAACTTTTGGGGAAGGCACAGCTTTTCCCCGTCTTCAACCAGTCTTTCTCCTTTTCGCAAGCCATCTGTCTCAGTACCTATTGCAGTCTTCCTCGCAATTAAAGTACTCAAACTCGTTCATTTATCTTCCCTTCCCATCCGCTCTATCGTTAGACGCTTCTGTCAAGCTCGAGATGGTAGCGGGACGTGTACGAATATAGAGGCAGGAGCACCAATTGTCTCGAGGGCAGGTGCAGGTGCAGGTGCAGCAGCTGCTGCTGCATGGGGTGTAGCTTTGGCCTGGGTGGGGCGATCCCAAGCTCGGGCTCTCGCCTGTGCCACAACCCCACCCCAGTGCACCCAAGTGCAACCGACAGGGCGGGATCAATCCCCGGGCCATTTGCTCCAGGCCTTATCCCAGTCGCGAAATGTGAGAGACAGAGAGCTTCTTCCCAGTGGTCCAATCTTCCACGGTCATTTTGGGCAGTTCCGCATCGATTCCTCTTGCGTTGCGTCTGAATAACGTCAGGACTGCCGCAGCTACGCAATAATTATTGTAACAAGTGGTAACTAGGACGACAGACATACGAGCTGTCCTCTCCTCTTACATTTCGCAGTAGTACCATAGCATCCGTACCAAACGGTAAGCTGTACGGGGTATGATAGGGTGGCTTTCGTGCAGAGAAGGGCTTTGCAGAGGCAGGAGCGTCCCTACTCGAAACTCCGTCTTTCCCCCAAATCCCATGATTCCATGCACCCCTTGCCTACATTCGCCATTGCGGCTAGAGACATTGTGGACGGAGTACGTATTCTTTCTTTTCCTTCCTGCCCTCTGCCACGACTGTTTGCAAGCGGGTAATAAACGAGCAACCACGTTGGCGGACAGAAGGAGAAGGCGAGAGGGTGGGTGGGAGTTTGTAGTGTGTTTGGGAACCTACCTTAAGGGAACTTATCAGTGCGGAGTACCTCAGACAGGAGAAGAGAGGAGTCGACAGGCAGGAGACCGGGATCCAACGCGCCCCTCTGCAACCATCACCGATTGACAACGACAACCTTGACAACCACACAACCACGTCGCCCGGCTTCATGTCGTCCCTCGATTTGCGCAATCTACCTGCAGACCTGCTGTTTCTCTCAGTATGGTCGCTGTGATGGGGCGGCGGGCCTAGAGTTGTCGCTCGGGCGGAACCTTTGGCTCCCAGCCGTGCCAGCGTCCCCAACTCGTCAAACTCTCTTGTCATGCTAAAGTCTAAAGACGCTTAGCAATGCTGCAGCCCGCCGCTCGTCTTGTCCGACTGCATAGTGTCTTATACAAGACATTGGATGTTGCCCACCGGCTGCATGTATACCTGGTATCTCTGAGGTCCATCCCAAGAGTTGGCTCCTAATAATCTTTTGGCCGTATTGACACGCCTCAGCCAATCCCATGTGAGTAATTCAGTTACTTTGAATGGCTCGCTCACTTCCATCCGGCTTTCTCTCTGACATATCGCGGTTGATGGCCCATCATCCCTCTGATATGCATTGGCTATTGCACAACCCTTTCCACCTGGGCCAGATTCCGCAAACATGCGCGAGCTTAAGACAAGAGAGGCAGGGACCGGTCAATGTTCCACGAGCCCTGCGGTGCTTTGCTCTGCATCCATGCACGTATGGAGCACATTACCTCGAGACACGGCACATTCACAACTTTGAAGTTTTCACTACCCCGCTGACAGGCCGCATCCTTCGACCCTTAACAAATTTGTACGGGGCCGTCCTCTTCGAAATTTCAGCCAGGAGCGCACTCCGAGGCCTCACCGCCAATAAGCCCAACTCAGTTGAGACACAACAAGCCCAGCGGGGAGTGCCAAGTCGCTGGGCCTGTAGTTTGTACAACCACAGCGAGTTCAAAACTACGCCCTCATCCTCCTCGTCCCTAGTCGATCTTCGCTCCAGATCCCATGGAGACGTCGCTGACCTTGGCCTTCGACACAGCCTGTGTAGGATGGAACCCAAATGCATTTCCGGTCAATCGATTGGACTCGTCAATCCTCTGTGGCTGTGGCAATAGGCTTACGGTGGCTCTGAAGAGACCGAAGCCCTCGACCACACCAGAATCTCAATCCTATTACATCCGATCTCAATGCCGACAGGTCAACCTACTGTTGCTTGGTTCGTAGCTCCCAATCCTGTCATCAGTGGGACGAGATAGCTATTGTGCTGGGGCTGTACCTTAGCCTTTGCTCGCTCTGGCGGTATAGCACCCCGGGCTATTGATCCGAATACCTCGACACTCGGTGCTAGAATCTCTCCGCGTCCGCAATTCGGAAAGACGAGTGGAGCCGGTAGCGTGGGGCGACAGCGATGATCGATCCCCAGGGTCCGATGCCGAGTACTAGGGGCCCCCAGCACGATGGCGATGAGAGTTGACACGCTGCCATGCTTCAACACATCTACCGGAATTCTAGCACCATTGTTACGGATAACCATGTAGTCGCAATCGAGTCAAAATGGCGAGCCTTAGCGACAGTACTGCTTCGTTTCCACTAGTCGACATCGTAGGAACCCGTCCTGCCTTGCAACGTAATTTGGACTTAAGGTTATAGATACTCACAATCACGCCTTCTGTGAGAATTGCGAATTGCGCGATGGTTGAAACACAATGCCTACCTTCTGGCACAGTCGTCCCAAGCCGGCGAGGGAGTATTGTCCTAGGTAATCTCCCGCCCCAATGTCGGGTCACCTCGCGCTTCGCAGGTTTCGCAAGACCGACCCTTTACGGAAGATGTGCCACCAGGGTCTCGCCAACAGACGGGATGGCTGCCCCCAGCTTATGCTCTGAGAACGTGGCATTTGCAGGTGCCTTATTAGCACGGTAATTGTGGCACAAAATTGCGTTAAATCCGACCAGCCAGGGCCCCCTCAGTCTAACTCGAGGAAGCTGGGATGTGCACACAGATTCTTCGAGAGGGCCTAGACTCTCGTCGGCAGCACCAGAGTCTGCCAAATTGCCAATAACCTACGGATACTGCTTACCTTTCGACAAGTTCTCCGACTCTTGCTTCAGAAGTTCAAAGAGCGATAACACTCAATCGTGAGCCAAAGGCTATGGAAAACTACTTTCGCACATTCCCAACCTTGTTGCCTTCTGCTGGATTGGTCTCATTGGTCATCACATGCTGGACTGAGCTTTGGGCACTCAATTACTTGCATACGTCGAGCAGAGCAAGCTGCGAACTCCCAGGCCTGCGAAGCAATCCAGCAAGGTCAACCCAGAAGGCCTACCTACTGGACACGGGCCATGATCAGAGCGACAACTCCCAGTTGACAAGAGCCCGCCAGCGAACTGCCCTTGCGGCGTACGGTCTTACCCCGCTGCCGCCGTGGCTAACGCGAGAGATGGTGTGAGAAAGGTGGTGGCTTCTCCAAAGATACGTTGTGGTTATGCACTGCCCCTCGCGTGCCGAATTGTGAGTTGCAACCTCAGCGGTTGGCTTTCAGCTGGTTCGTCAGGTCAGACAAGTCTAATGACGCTGCTGATCGCGTCGAGTAGGTATCAATCTCTCCGGCATCTACGCTACTGGGTACAAATCATCCAATCTTGCGAGGGTCATTCAAGCCCAGGAAATCCCTTATAGCCAATTTCCATGGATATCTCCCGTCAGCCTGAAGTCGGCGATGTGAGATGCTTCCAGAGATCTAGAAACTGACGTCACATCAAGATGGATCAGCTGCTTCAAATATCTACTGAGGACGGTACTGGGCTGAAGATAGCAGTTATTTTCCGTTTTTGGTGAATGTTGCTCGCCCGCGGGTTAGCTCTGCTCAAGCGCGACGGCAGACGACAAAGTTGAGACTTGCCATTATTCAAACGACTGGCGTTGCTCGACGTTGGGACGGAGCACTCTGTCCGCGCGCCACTAGCTCGCTCTTCTTCTTTGGCGTGTGAAACGGATACTTCAAGTTACAGCACATACATGGCAGACCCATCGAGCGGGACGAACCTCTCTGAGACCAATCAACAGGCCACAGTCCATAACCCGGTCCCAGCAATTCCATGCTCATCTTTCTACCTCCACGCCTAGTGTGGTGTAGGTACAGGCCACAGGGACGGATATCTCGAGCACATTTCAACACCGGGTGTCTGGACCCAAGCGATCGTGCATACTACGCCTAACCGTATTTCGATCAGGTTAGACTCTAGAGAATCAAAGAGACTGCAAAGGACTACGGCAAACAGGAGAACCGCTACACCGGGCAGCACACCATCCTCATCGACCTTCTGCCACAGCGGGGCAGCGGGTACTATGTCAACCCACGTAGTATAGGAATCGACCATGAGAAATGACATGTCTTTGTCGTCAGACACTGAGGTTTGGTCGGTACTGCCCGCCCTTCTCTCATGGTTCTGTTTACTGTAGGCTGCTTACTAGTCGTGAAGCAATGCTAATCAACGAACTTCCAATGTCGACATTTCTTGAAACCCCACGAAGGTCCCTTCGGCCGGGACGACTGAAGCAGATAGGTACTACCTAGAACGCAGCCAGCCTGCCATGCCTACGAACGAGCAACAAGCCTTCGTACCACACCCTTCCCCATTTCCCCAGCTGCCTGTTTTCAGTGGTTTGTGGCGAAACGACAAGAGACATTCGACTCCGTCCCATCTGGCTACCACAGACGCACACGCCCAGCTAGGTGTCGCTCTTATTCGAGCGTGTGGTACAAAAGGGGGCAAACGAGGTTTTCGGGTACTCAGATTCCCATGATTTGAAGCATGGCATTCTGCTTCCCCCGTTCGAACCTGTGACCCTCACCTCGTCGCTGACGATGCGCATCATGGCTTCGGCGCGTCACAGTCACATCTGATTTCCAGCATGTCTACAAGAATCATTCTCGTTCATCTCGGCGAGGAACGCACAAACGACGGCACTCTATAATCCGTACAGCGGTGCAAGTATTCTCTCCCAATTCGCAAAGGAAGGTCGTCAATGGAGCCCGCACCAACGCTCAAATGGAAAATTGTGTCGACTTTCGTTTCTAGATAAGCGAGAGATCGCGCGCTGACATCTCATGTTCGGAGCCGTGACGGCCAATCGACCTTTTCGCCTCCTACCCCAGATCCTGATCTCATAAGTTTGATTCCAAATGCCCCTTGCTCTTTTTTGTGAGTCAGCATAAATCAGAAACGGCCACCAACGCCGTTGGAGACGCCCCGCCTATAGTCTCTGTCGGGCAAGGCCAGGAGGCCAAAGCCAGGCGATCAGGCGATCGCTGATAGACGTCGGCAGATGGCACTGGCCGAAAACGCACGCCTAGGGGTGATTGGAAGATTCTTAAACAGCGGGGAGCCCAGCGCCACGTTCCTGAACCCTGACGTAAAGTCTCTGATCACTTGGAGGCTGGATGCGCGAGGAGCGGGCACCAAAGACGCCCGCGGAGACAGTTCACTGGGAAAGTGAGAATGCAGCTGCGGACGCCTTATTCCAGCGATGTTGGATTGACATTGCAATTTCCATGGAAGAATGCGATGTGCGGTGTTGACGAGAGAACCCTGGAAACCGGCATACCGGATACGAACCGTGATCTTGAGCAGTTCTTCCAGATATGATACTATTGTCAGCCAGAGAGTATCTGTACCAGCTGCGTTCGCGGCCAACATTACGCCGGTCGCAGCCAGTGTTCCGACGATGCACGGCATACATCACATCTCGATCTCTTACCACGTGTTTTGCAATTCAGCATAGACACTATCACGAAGACAACAGCTCAAACATGCTTGCCCTGATGCTTCGGACAGCGTCTGGGCCCACGGACACAAGTTAGAAGAGAAGATGATCGTGATCTCTGGACGCGCTATCATACCAGAGCTTCCTCTCTTGGCTGGCTTCGGGAGGCTTGTGGTACTATTCAACGCACCTAGTGAGAGGGGGACCTTAACCGACAGTCTGGCTCGGCCGCTAGTGCTCGAAGAGAACAAGGAAGCTTACACAGCAGCTCAGAAATCTCGATGGTGGCTCAGACAGTCGATAACCGCCTGCGCAAGATTCGTTCCAGCTTGTCTCTTTGGCACGCCGGTTCTTCCAAAACCACATCGGGCTGGGACAAGTCAAAAGGGCCTTCCACCGGGATAGGAAACCAGCGTTCCAGACGCTTGCTCAATTATCCGCCAGCCACTGCCCGAGCCCCTGTCGTTAGGGAGACACTGCGTACTCAAACTAGAGACATCGTGCCATTTTCAGCAATCCGGCCAGAGTGGTCTGGGTTGCTCATCCACCTTCTGTCAATAGTCGGTGCCATGTGAGATGCCCAACTTCATGGCACACTGGAAGGAGAAGCTGCTCATGCTGCGTTACGCGCGCAAGCAGCCCAAGGAGCTGGGTAGGAAGATTTACTAACAAACCTGCCAACAGAGGGTTCTGCAGGCTGGTCGGGCCGCCGGGACGGATTGGTTTCGTGGCTGTACTTTCGTTCGGCCCTCGTTCTAAAATCCCACCTTGCGGCCGGACAACTTGTTGAAGCCAAGATTCTTCCAGGACACTGCTCCTACCGGCCAAGCCCTAGCGGAACGTATGCTGTTGGTTTCGCCCGCTTTCAGACATCCCAGCAGTATCATGGCAAGGTTAATTCGTTCGGGGGTTCAACACAACATTGACGGTACGAACTGTAGACATCAAACTGTCGGCCCCGTTTCTCACTCGAACTGCTCTAGCTCAGACCCAGTTCTTCACACCTCTCATCTATCCTGCCGCTTTGCAGATTGCGCACATTTCTTCGAGGCTAAAATGGGGTGAGCGCACGGCCGAGGGTGAGCCCTGAGCCGTTCCGCCCCGATTTCCAACGAAATCCACGAGAATCGGGCGGTAGTGCCCATGAAGGGTAGCTCTGTATCCCTGTTTCCGATTCACGCGATATGTTCGCCGATCGGACGGCGGGCCCCGGATTTCGCGATCCCCTCAAGTTCTGCAGGGCAGTCCGCATCGTGACATGATCAAAAACAGGGCTCCCCGGCCCCACGAACTGGTTCCTTTGTTGGAGCGATCGTAGCAACCAACGTGCCATCGGAACATTCACAGCCCCGATGCCAACGTTTTGGGACGTGGGCCAGCTGCTCTCTCCTGGATCGGGAGCGACGATTTCTTAATCCAGCCCGCCGAACACCCCCCGTCAGCCCTGCATCTACCAGACGAACGACTGAGCGTCTATCAAAGTTCCCGATCTCGTGGGAGATTATTATCAACGGCCTGCATCGTGTTTTCTCGGCGGTGATATTTCGATGCGCTGCCGCTAGTTATCATCGCTTAGGACTCCCACCAACCTGCAGCGGGAGTGCATCTCCCCATCGCAAAGGCTCGGGAGGGTAAGGGTTATGGGGCATGCCACGATTCAGGACCCCGATTGCGACGAACTCTTCGATACAGCAGTATGGATCGCGCACACTGCGCTGCGGCACTTTTTCTGTCACTAACACTACTACCCTTAGTTAAGATGCCATCTCTCATCGTGTGCTCCGAACGCTCGTGATAGGAATTCTCTCAGGCTCGACTATTGGCGCCATTCGCTTCATAGTTGAAGCCGAATCCTGGTGCAAGCGCAAGCAAGAAGGAGAAAGCCCTTGTCTAAACGCTGCGATGTCGCACGTCGGCGGTCGCTAGGCGATCGGCCCCACGGTTACTACGATGCTGTCGTCGTTGCGCGATGCTTCATCTTGTTTTGCAAACCTTTGATCGCTATGGAAAGCAGCAAGGACTGCTTGCAAACCCATGCGCGACGAAGGGATGACGAAACTGAGCCATGGCGGGCAACGTGCGCGATGAACTCCGTTGAACTGGCAGCCAGCATTGGCACGGTGTCAATGCAATGAGCGCCTCGACCAAGACTGGTAGATGTTGCGGTTGTCGGTGTTCAGGCCGTCGTTACTGTCAAGCAAAATGTAGGCTCTCGTCGACATTTGAGTCGCGCGTACACTTCTCAGGAAAGCTTGCCCGAACCATTCTAAGATAGTCGGAAATGGACAATAGTTAAGGCTGCATTCCCAACCTTCTGAAAGCTCAGGAACAGGTCGCTCTAGTGAGCCCATCATGGTGATCTTTCAGGAAAGATGCCGCTGGATAAACAGCCTTCTCGTGGCCGGCACCCGGCAATGACTCCCATCACTTCATTTTCAATAATGTTGGATTACAAATCCAGATGGTTTTTGCTAACGGCTCGTGCCTACATGCCATGTTGTTGTCCCGAGACTTGGGTATTCGGAAGGATTGTAACTACTGAGCGGGGATGGTACTCATTTATCGCGAGCTGAGTCGAGTGAACCTCATTGTTTCGGAAAGTGAGGTAAGAGCGAAGAAGCGGTCGTCCGTCGCGTCGGCTATGATTATCAAGCTTCAATGTCTTAAACTGAACGAGATCCTTCCAGTTGCCGGACAGATGATGGCGGACTTTTAGATCTTTGGGCCTTGTTGGCGGTATCCGGACAATTGCCAGGCAACAGGCCACACTGAGGCGGCCGCTGCTGGCGTTCTTAGAGACCGTCCATGCTACCGAGATAAAAGCTCCGTGCGATTCTCACGATGTTAGTACCCGATGTCTCCCATGGGAGAGGATGTTTGGCTGCAACGAGGCAACAAGATTAGAAGCGGAGGATGCTTTGGAACCCCTCCTTTCGGGATTACGGGCAGGCACCCGTCGAGTTCCACGACATCGGATATCCCGTCTTCTGGTGGTAAAAACCGCGACGTGCCCTCCGTGCCGCACCTTTTCGATCATCTTGCCAGTTCCCATCTCAAGTTATCCTCCAAGAGTTCGCACTATCGACGAGAGCCTTGTCGTTTCTTCAACATCGCATTGCAATCAGTACAACAACGCAACAAGGCAACGCCCCGCAACCATGGCACTACGATTCGACCCAGAGTACCAAGCCGCCATCGCCGCCAGAGACAGTGGCGGAGGAGGTCCCGCCCCGCCAGCGCCATTCAAAGACGTCTTTGAGCTCCGCGCCTTCTCGGAACCTATGCTTCGCACCGTTCTCCGCGCGCAGCCGGCGCCGGACAACGTCTTCGAGACCCGGATCCCGTTCACCTCGCACGACGGACAGGAAGTCGGGCTCTACCGCTTCGCCACCCAGGAGATGATTGACAGCCGCGAACCCCTGGCCGCCGTGGTATACGTTCACGGCGGCGGCATGGTCTCGTGCGATGTGGATATCTTCAGTCCTCAGATCAAGCGGTTCGTCGAGATGGTGGGGATGCCGTTCTTTGCGGTCGATTATCGGCTTGCGCCTGAGTTTCCTGATGGGCTCGGCGCTGAGGACGTGTATCTCGGGCTGAAGTACCTGTCTGAACACGCTGCGCGTTGGAACGTCGATAACGGCAACATCGTCATCATGGGCGACTCAGCTGGCGGCGGGCTCGCTGCCGGCGCGACGTTGATGGCGAGGGATAAGAGCCTGCAGCCGCCGTTGCGGAAGCAGGTCCTCGTGTACCCTATGCTCGACGACCGCACCTCGGTACCCGAGAAGGCTGCGATATACCCCTTGTTATCGTGGAAGGCGCATGACAGCGTGCTTGCGTGGCGGGCTGTATTGGGGGATAAAGCTGGGGACCCGCGGCCCTCGGCGACGGAGGCCGGGATCTCGCTGTATGCTGCGCCCGGTAGGGCTTCGGTGGAGGAGTTGAGGGGACTGCCGAGGACATATGTTGATGTGGGCGGGTTGGATTTGTTTCGGGACGAATGTGTTGATTTTGTGAGGAGGCTTTGTGAGGCTGAGGTGGAGGTCGAGTTTCACTTGTGGCCTGGGTTGCCGCATGGCTTTGAGAGTGCGCCTGGGATTGGGTGGGTTAGGAGGGCTTTAGAGGCGAGGAATGATGCGCTGAGGAGAATTTGATGGCGTTCGTTTGGGGTTTGGGATGGGAGATGGGGTCGTGGAAGGAGGCCGGGGGGGACGTATGAAGTGGGAAGGAGGAGGTGGTTGGTTTGGACTGGATGAGATTGACACTTGAGGAGCGTTTGTAGGGATGATCTGGGGTTGGAGGCTCTGGTATTGCAGCAAGCTGTCTTCAGTGAGCTTTGCCGGTTGTGTCTGGCTCTTCGGCGCGGATCGCGATGTCTTCACGTCTCCGAACCTGATGTTAGATTAGCTGGCGTAAGCGTTTGCCGTCCCCTTTTACCAATCTAAGATAGTCAACACTAGTAAATGTGTTAGGTGCTGAGATCACTGAGACTCTCTTCGTCGTAGTCTTGATTTGCCTGGACGTAAGAGCTATCCGGTCTTACTTCTAATGAGGCCCAAGTGATAGGGCGAAGGCAGTGAGGTGTCTTGGTATAAGCGTGATGCACTTACTTCGCTTTTTTTTCATTCTCAACGCCGATAATAATACATCTGAAGGCGTTTTGACTCTCAATAGATGAAGGAGGGAGAGAGAAAAAAAGAGTTCGCCCCCGGTGGGACTACTTCTCTCGGTGCTCGTACTGGGATTCGAACTCGGAACTCGTAGCCTGTCGTCGAGTAGGCTGTTGGGCGTGATTTGATTGATTGTTGACGATAGACCACTCCACCACTCAGCCAGTTTGACCTGACCCGTCGACCTAGACGGGCGCCTCCTGGCTTGTGACTGGGGAGGGAGGTGAGAGGGTATATGTAGGCTTTCTTCCTGTGTGTATTGTGTAGGTTGGGATGAATCTACGTTCACGGGGACGCTGTGCCTCGGGGAGGGAGGGGCGATGGTCGGATTGATACGGCCTGGTACCAGCGCAAGCCTGGAGGATCATGACTTTGAACACTTACATTCATTTTCCTATAGTTCCTGGCCTTGACCTGATAGAGGCTGCAATCACTCAATGCATCTACAGCTCTGTAGGTAACAGTCAAGGGGTTCATCAAATTTTGTTTGATGAAACCAAGCTACCCGTTCCATCTTGACGCATGTTCTGAAATCTGAATAGCCCGCGTGGTGAGATGGGCTGGGGTCCCGACGCCCTTGGGTCTCAAGACCTTGAGTGCAACTGAGCTACAAGTTAAGGAACTGCGGTTGCGTGTCTTCCGTGGCCCATATCAGCCCGTTGAGCGTACGTCTAGCAGGAAGATGTGCTGGCCGTCAATGTTGACCCCATTCATATGTAGGCCTTTCACAGCTTATTGGTGGGTTGTTGATATGATGTTCCTCGAGAGAGATGGAATTGCCAACGATTGCAAAGATAACTGCTTTTATGCTTTTGAGATCTCAAATTGATCTTGCGGAATTCAGCGGACGTAACTTCGATACTGAGAGTGTATTGACTTTTACATGGGACAATTTAACTGATTCTTATTCCATACCGCACATGACTGAAGGCAAATCTACGTGTAAACAGTGACTAATATTTAATACCGACCGGATTTTTGATATTCTCCTAATGATCATTTCACAGTTCCGAGGAAGATTAAAAACTAGGTACTCCCCCAAACAGTTGCCAGTATGTATAGACTAAAATTCAAGCGGTAGCTTTAAATGTTCCAAATGTGGCCATACGTCTAAGAAGGTCTCAAAGCTCACTCTCTGAAACGATTGCACATAAACAACCCAAGGGCACTTTGTGTAGATATTTGTGTTCACATCAATACCGGAAACTCAGCTACCTTTCAATCTTGTACTGAATCTGATCCGTCTCCTCACAAGAGTGGTTTGCCTTGTGCATCGGCGCTGGGTTGGTCAGCCTATTGGTACCAAGAGCCAGATACATGTGTAAGCGGACGGGACTGCTCAAACCCGCGACTCAACTTTCACTAATAAGCTAATAACTAGCCAAGCCCCCCAACACTCTGTCTATGCTTTATGCTTACATGACCTTTGATTAATGCCAAGCGAAGAGCCTTGACAGAAGTAGCCAGCACTTCGCCTTTAAATTATGGCGGTCTCAAGTCAGTTGACGTGATTAATTGAGTGTCTCGCACCAAACATCAGCCGAACAACTGCTGGTTCGTCCCAACTCGGAGCCAATTTCAGTCAAGGATCGGCAGTTCCCCGCAGCTCCCTTAGGCGGACCATTGACACTCGTCCGACGCGGTCATTCAAGAGGGAAGTTGCCTGGTCTGCCGGGGACCGATGCAACGGGCCAAGCCGCTAGGGTGCACGTGTGGTAGCCACTCGGAGACTCGGGCACAAGGGCCTAAGAGGAATAAACTCATGAACCCCGGCCTCGCTAGCAAAGAAGCATACTTTCGCACTCGATTCAAAACAATGGACGGAGGTTCTTTAATAATCTTAACCGATGGAATCCTCCGAAAGGGGGCAGACAGATCCGGCGTTTGCAGGAGAGCGGCGAGGACCCCCCTTGCCATTCGGTCCAGCCGGGGATGCTGCATAGTCTCAAGTAAAGTTGAGCTGACAAGCCCAAGACTTTCCAATGTCGCATCGGCACAACTACGCTGTAGATTGACTAACCCTTTAGTTCGTCTTGCAGGTATCCCGACTGGCGGAACAATAGCATTTGCTTCTCTTGGGCTTCTTGGCAAGTATAAAAGATACGAACTTGGGAGTCTCGGCCGAGCGGAGTGGAACCTCGACTTCCACTGCCTTTGTGGCTCATTACCGGACAGGTAGATGTTAATGTTGAGAGACTTTGGCTCCAGGTTCCCATAAGTAGAGCGCGGGTTGTTCCCAGTTGTTAAGGACATGTTCTTTGATACCTCAGCCTCTCTGTCTTTGCTCTGCCGTCTTGTTTTTGCTTCTTAAGATACCTCTTAGTACATCACAGCCATCAACATCATGAAGTTCACTTCTCTTCTCGCCTCCTTGGCGCTGAGCGCCCTCACCTCCGCCGCTCCCGCCGCCTCTCCCGAGCCTGCCGAGCTCGCGGCCCGCGCCCCTACCCTCTACCTCTGCGGCGACAGCACCATGGCCAGGAGCAGTGACTCCCAGATGGATGGCTGGGGCCAGTATGTCTCAAAGTACCTCAACATCGCCGTCGTCAACCGTGCCATCGGCGGCCGCTCATCCCGTTCCTTCTGGAACGAGGGCCGCTTCCAAAACGTCGCCAACGAGGTCAAGGCCGGCGACATCGTCGTCATCGAGTTTGGCCACAACGACGTCGGCTCTCCGCGCTCCAACGACAATGGCCGCTCCGTCTGCGGCGGTGAGGGCACCGAGACGTGCATCTCTGACGTGACGGGCGAGACCGTCTACACCTACGTCTTTTACGTCATCCAGGCCGCCAAGCTCATGACCGCCAAGGGTGCCACCGTCATCCTCAGCTCGCAGACGCCCAAGAACCAGTGGGCCACTGGCACTTGGGTCGGCACCCCGTCCCGCTTCGTCGCCATGCAGAAGAAGGCCGCCGCGACCATCAACGACCCGGCCGTCACTTTCGTCGACCACCACCAGGCCGTCAGCAACATGTACCTCAAGCTTGGATCGTCTGCCGTCAAGGCCCTGTACATCAAGGACAACACACACACCAGCGCGGCTGGTGCCGACCTCAGCTCCCAGGCTTTCGTCCAGGCCATCTACCAGAAGATGAACGGCACCACCAGCCTCGCTGCCCACGTCAAGACACCCATCAAGACCGTCTACTAGTCGGCAGACCGAAATTCACATGCGAGGATAAGGGGAGGTTGCGGTGGTGGCACGTGTGGTATGGGGGAGTAATGTGGTCGTCTCGTTGAAGAGCTTGGTCTCTGATGACTTGACGGTTCGAAATTCACTGTATATGTTTCAAAAAAATAAGCTAAGGCTCTGTAAATAGGCAAAACGAGCTGTAAATATTCAACAAGCCTTCATATCTTTCAAATACTTTGTCCAATGCTCTATGTTCTCGACAATCCTTTCAATCCATTATCCATGCCGAAAGACCTGAAACTCTTTGTTCCTTGCCCCAGTGTGAAGCTTTTGCAGCTGGTGAGTATGAATTCAATACATGTACTACAACGTACCTGTAGACGTTGAGAAAGTGATTAGATTCCCAAGGGGGGGGAAGCCCAATCGGATTGCATAAGAAAGATAGAAACAAGCCTGCTGTACCACTAGCGTAAGCTCTATCCAGGATCCATTCAAAGGCCGCGCGATAAAATGAGACTGGCAAGAAAAGCATGGAAAAGGAATTCCTGAAAGAGAAGACTCGGACTTGGGACATGACTTTCGAAAATGAAAAGCTACCCGGAATGGCTTGGAAGGAGTTGGAAGGAGCAAGCGGTCCAGACTGTACCCTCCGCATGTGACCATGAGACGGGAAGGTACATAACCCCCCCGCCCCCCAGTCTCAATTCTGTCACCAGCACAGCATGCGCCCTCTGATTCGGGGGTCAGGTTAGACTGTGGCGTGGATGGTGGAATGGTTCATGATTAACAATCAATTACGCTAACAGCCTACTCGACGACGGGCTACTAGTACCCGAGTTCGAATTCCAGCATATGCACCAGAGATGTAGCCCCCAGTTCAGCACAGGGGGTGTGACCTCTTTCAATATTTTCCATTTACCTAATAACATGTAACTGAGGTATCCATCCCGTTGCACAGCGTAGAAAAGATCATGGTCGAAGGCGACAGTGATGTTCGATCGCGTGTTGACTACCTTGCGCGTGAAACTACCTCTATATCGATACCTTGCACTTCCTTCAGAGACTCCTTGTTGCTCTCGGTGTCATATACTCTCTTCTATCAATATCGAGCTGTACGTTCCTCAAGGGGAATCAATCGACTGGTCCGGTCTCATGAGCCATCCATGATCATCAACTCTTTCATGTGTCCCCCCAAAACTTTGTGACGGACGATGCCAACAACCTCTGTTATTGATGATGACAGACTGCTTTGTTGCAAAGGTGCCGGAGACTCGAGATGTGAAGCGAGCCCGATAACGTTCAAAGCACTCGTAGGTGGTAAGGGTTGAGATCGAACCTCAAGGTTGAACGGTGTCCAGCTGACACGATGAATTGAAGTGGCCCGGACAGCTGTAACGATCGCAGAACTCCAATGAGACTGGTCGCAGACTTTTATCTCATCACCAATCTTGACGCCCCTTGTGCTTCGCCTCACGAAAGGGAGTGAACCTGACATACAAGAACACCCGATACATGAGCGACGTCGACAGTGTCCATATCAGCATAAAGATCAACCAAAAGAACATGTCGTGTGCGTCGAGCCAAATCAGCTTGTTGCGGATAGACCAAGTAATCCCATAATAGTCAATGACGTCCCAAGGGACAATGACATGGTGGACAGCGTAGTAGTAGTATAATCCCAGGATGATAGCAACTGCCGAAATGAATCCCATTATGGTGCTAAGGCAGATGAGAGTCATAATTGAAATTGCTTTGCGGGGGGTGTTCGTCTGTGACTCGTTGAGAAGAAGATTCCAGCTGCGGCTGTCCATGAGACGTCGGTGGACGCCATTTCCGCCGAAGGGATAAGACTCGGCGGGTGGGTAATTGGGGGAAGTGTAGGTTGACATTATGGTAGCTACGTTTGTTGTGTGTTTTAGATGTATTGCGGCTTTGACTATGTACCGATGTGTGGTATGGAGAGTTAAATTGAGGTGTGGTTGAGCAGCTCGTCTTGTGAAAGGTTGAAGCACAGAGAGAGAAAGTTGTATGATTGTATCAATATATCTCTGGAAGGTTGATCTAAGGCTAGATCTATTATAAGTGGCTATAGACCCTTATGGTCTAAATCTCCACAAAGTTCGTCGTTTCCTCTTTTCGCGGAAACCTTCGTCAAACGTAACTAACGCCTCGTAGAACTCAAAAAACCCGGTAAAGGTTCACATGGAATTGGAATGCGAGGATGCCCTCTAACTCGCGTATGAGCTGGGATTCGATTATACGGGGAATCGACAGTAGCCATTTCATCGACGAGCATTGCTAATTGGCCGATCTGACTAGGTAAAAGGCGATGGAATTTCGCCATTCTCCTCCCTATTTGTTATTTGAATTATCCTCTTTCTTTCTCTTAAGTATACAAATTGGCTCACACATACTGACGGCACAGCGAGCGTGTGTGTGTGCGTGTGATAAAGAGATGGTAATACAAAGTAGTCAATCACGGAGCCCATGCCTAAAAGCTAGGAGCGTTCAGCATGAAATATGAACATGTGCCTTCTCGAGTTATCGGAACTAGGGAGATGTCAACTTCTTTCAGAATGTATACGCCATTGCCGCTACAACCCAATGTTCTATACTTCAATCCAAGGTCCTTCTTAGGCTTAAAGAAAATTCAACGTCTCTCAAATCCACTATTGTAGCATTAGACCAAGTGTCGCAAAAAGGACGCCGTTAGTTGCGGGTAGTAATGACCGCTACATATACCCTACGACACTAAGACCATGAAGTCACTAGCTAACTAGGGTCCCTCGACATTGTATGATTGTCTGCTAGCATACATCTCTATCGTGCTCTGAGTAGCTGGGGACTTCGTTCTCCTTGCAACCTATGTGCCTGTCCGGAATCCTATTTGTTCGAAGTTGAGAGTCAAGAAAACCCCTACACTGTTGAGCCTGCATTTGTAAGCTCTGGGTACTCGAAGAGTAGAGGTTGAGTTGGTGGGGACCACGCCATCCGGCTTTAGTCCTCCCGATGCAGCTGAGCTCCACATAGGCGCCGGATGTTTTCTCCCGCTTCACCGTTTTTGTGTATCAACTTCCCGGCACAAGATCTCGGGTGGGCGATTTTGTGTCAACGCTGACTTTGATTGGCCGGAAATCTTCGCCCTGCAGATGTCGATTTGTGTCTTGAAAATAACTCGACTATAGAAGCCTTAGGCTCATACTTGATGTGCGACATATCAACTCCTTGAAAAGCCGGCTTGAGATCGTCCACAGCGACAGGTGGAAGAATTTTCTCATCACCCGCGATATCATCCGTCAGAACCTTCAGGATGCAAATCGCAAGCCAGGAACCCGACTCGCTTGAACAGGCGCAGCCTGTGGAAAGTATGCTTTTGACAGCCCGTTCCCACGCTCGTATCACGAAAATATTATTTGCTAACCTGAGAACCTTGACAGCTCTGGACGTAGCCCAAGAGTCCCACAAGTACCCTGAGGGCGGCAAAGACGCATGGCTTGTTGTAGCCGGTGCATGGTGCGCCATGATACCCTCCATGGGCCTGCTCAACACTCTTGCAGTTCTTCAGGCCTGGGTTTCACAAAACGAACTTCATGGTCTTCCAGAATCAACAATTGGCTGGGTTTTCAGCACTTACGCCTTCTTCCTCTACTTTTGCGGTGCTCAAGTTGGTATGAGAGACGTCTGAACCAGCTTAAGAGGCTCAAGCTGACAATCCTACAAGGTCCCATATTTGACGCTCATGATGTGAGGTTCCTGATGGTACCTGGATGCGTAGGGGTTGTGGCGTCTTTAATGTTGATGAGTCTCTGCAAAGGTAATGGCAACGGACTTCCCCCCTCAAAGCCCAAAAGTTGAAACTTAAATCTTTTTCAGAGTTCTACCAGTTCTTGCTCACCTTTGGTGTCCTCGGCGGTGTGTCAGCTTCGCTGCTTTTCAATCCGAGCATCGCTGCAATCGGGCACTGGTTCTCGGAACGTCGCGCTCTTGCTACCGGGATAGCCTGCACGGCTGGGGGTGTGGGCGGCGTTGTCTTCCCTCTCATCATTCTTTACATGGCTCCCAAGGTGGGCTTCCCGTGGGCCATCAGGACTGTTGGATTTATATGTGCTGCCGCGTCTGTTTTGGCATGCACGCTCTTGAAGAAGAGACTTCCACCAAGCAAGACATCCAGTGGCGCAATCGACCTCAAAGCGTTGAAAGAGACAAAATTCGGTCTCGCCACGTTGGCCGTATTCCTGATTGAGTTTGCAGTCTTCATCCCTTACACCTACATTTGCTCGTACGCTATCCACGAGGGTATTGATCTCCAGAAGTCTCTCCTCCTGAGTGCTCTACTCAACGCCGGGGCGATCCCAGGACGTGCTCTACCGGGTTACGTCGCAGACCGATTCGGTCCCTTTAACGTCACGTGCGTTACCGCCTTGGTATGCTCGACATTCATCTTTGCACTCTGGATGACAGCTGGTGGCGGCGAAGCTGCTACGACCGCCTTTGCGGTTATGTTTGGCTTTTGGTCCGGAGCTGCCATCAGCTTGACGCCCGTCTGCATTGGACAGGTTTGCAGAATAGAAGACTATGGGAAAAGGAGCGGCACGGCGTTCTTTGTCTGCAGTTTTGGTGCCCTCGTCGGTGTGCCGTTTGCTGGAGCTATCCTGCAATGGTCAGGCGGCACTTACGATGGCCTTATACTTTTCGCGGGTGGCCTTTACATCTTGTCGTTTTTCGCTTTTGCCGTTGCAAGAGGTGTAGCTGGTGGATGGAATCCAAGAATTTTGTTCTAAACTCGAGTGGGAATCAGTTCACTGTTCGAGGCCTTCGAGTATCAGTCGATCAGGATAGGACACTTGGCGACCAACTGTAAGATCCCTTGGATGGGGGTTTTTATTTATTCGAGTGTTTGCTGTCAATGTGTGTTTCAGGGAAGGGAGATCAGATATGATAGAGAAATAGCAGGCTGACAGGTCAGTTGTAGATGAAGCATTGGTACACCATGGAAAATCGTCCAACTCCTGCGTAAGTTTACAACCGAGATTTTTTCAAATGAAAGATTGTCCTGATACCTGTTGATGATCTTTATTAGATGATACCAGGCCTGTCATCCCACTGGCATAATCTTGTGAGGCCAACGCAATTTGAATCAAGTTGAAGATCATTGTCGTGAATAATCAGTCTGCCTCAAAGGGAGAACTCATCATGAGCCGTGTCGTCAATTATCAGGGGCTGAGTCCCTCGAAAAAGGCGATTGTTGGCGACACTAACCAGCTCGAGTCGTGTACTCGAAGCACTGTTTCAGAAAAGGCGACGTCGGCAACAGAACCGAGCTGACCAAGCGAATTCTATTTACACTAAACGGCCATTAAGAACTTTAATACCATAGCTTACCCTAAAATACACCACCTGATAGCGGTCACCTCCGCATCTTCCGATGAATAGGGCAATGCTCGCCTTACGACTAGGCCAGGCCCCCACAACTCATCATAGGGAGAAGCGGCAGTTAACATAGTTTGACGCCGATATTACTTGCGCGCGCGGCTGTGTAGTATTCCCTTGCCAGCATCTGTCGCTTTTGTGGAAGACGGACTCCATTCCAAGGCTCAAGGCCGGCAAGCTGGCACTGCAAGGGGTTGTCGCAGACTAATCGGCGAGTCCTTTGATCAGTCAACCTCCCATGATGATAATGAGTAGGTATTTCAAACTCAGATTTCTCGAGTATAAGTTGCGCTCTCTCGGCTCTCTTTTCTGATCAACTCCTACCTTTTTCTTCATCGCACTCTTTGACGCAACAAATCAATCGCTTCTCTACAGTCTCTACATTCTACATCAACATTGCCACTGCATCTCTTTCCATTTGATACCCGAAATCGTTCTCAATCGATCAACTCGCATCTTTAACCACTCACCAAAAATGCACGCCCGCAACGTTCTCATCCTCGCCCTTGGCGCCGTCGCCTCCGCCCAGAAGTTCGAGGATTTCCCCACCAGCTTAACTTGCAAGACTGGCGATGGCGGCAAAGGAACTGCCACCATATCAAAGATTGAGGCCCAGGATGCCGTGAAGGGCCCCAACGGAAACAAGATGGATGACTCTGCTGCCAACGTTGCCTCTGGCAAATGCGTCAACCTCTCTGGCGTACCATTCTACGGAGTAAGTCACATGCCAAGACAATTTCCGCGGCTTCAAGTCTAGAAAATTCCATGTGCTAACCCGAATCTTTCCACAGGGCGGCGTCTCTGGCAAGGGAAGCATCTACTTCGCTTACGACAAGGCAAAGGATACGTACTACTTCTGCTCGGCGCAAGGGGCCGTTGATGAGTCAGGATGGCCTTCTTCTTGCACGGAAAACTAAGCAACTTGTTCCTAGAGACTGAATATCAAGCGAGCAATTGTCCTTTTGCAGCTATTCAAGCCGATTTGACGTGCCTATTGAGTGTGAAATGATGGTTACTTTGAAGTAACTCATGAGTGCCTCGTTTTATTAGCGGAAGCCTTGCCTGAAAGGAACAAAACTTGGACTAAGTATGAATATGCCGTTCAATGACTCGAAATAAGCGGTGCAAATTGTGAGAACGGCCAAATTTCGTCAGCAAAGTGCGAGCGAAGGCCATGATCAGTGGCCAGACTGGCCGAATGCGCAGACGCTGTTGTGGGTCAATCGTCGTCGTCTCGAGCCTGCGCCGGCCTCCGATGAGGTCCGAATTGTGGTAGGCCCGAGACGGCGACGGGCCCGGAAAGGGTTATTGAAGAATGCAAGTTAGTAATCGAGTTTTCCACTTATCAATCATAGGTGGAATGACTTCCGAGGCTTGGATGATGGAAATTTCTTTCAGACTGCACCGTCCCTGAGAATGAGTACTAAAAGAGACGTGCTCTCCATAGATGATTTGTCTCCTGAAATTTTGTTTCTGATCATCGAGAGACAAGTACTCAATCTACGTCCCTAATCTACATTTTCACGTAAACCGAAGTTCTACGGTGACTTTCCATTCAAACTTGCCCAGCCGATTCCGACCAACATGTCGCGCGCAATTCTCATCACTGGCGCCACAGGCAAACAAGGCGGTGCCGTTGTCAGTGCTCTCCTAGCCAGACAACCATCGGACTTTCTGCTTCTTGCTGTAACGAGAAACGCTCAATCGCCATCTGCCAAACGTCTGGCAGCTAAATCATCGAACATCAAACTTGTTGAGGGTGATCTCAATGCGACCCCGGCTCTGTTTACCTCAGCAAAGGCAGCGGCTGGAGCTGTTCCGCTATGGGGTGTATATTCCGTTCAAGCAATGGGCGACCAGAAATCGGACAGTGAGACGAGACAAGGAAAGGCGCTGATTGATGAGTCCATCAAGGCAGGGGTGCGGCACTTCGTCTACAGCAGCGTCGAGCGAGGTGGCGACGAACGGTCTTGGAGCAACCCTACACCGGTACCGCACTTCATCACAAAGCATCAAATCGAACACCACCTCCGTGACAGCGTCGCCAACAGTAAAACGGACATGGGCTGGACGATCCTTCGGCCCGTCATTTTCATGGACAATCTCATGCCAGGCTTCTTCGGCAAGGTGTTCTTCACCATGCTCCGCGACACCTTGAAGGAGAAGCCTCTGCAGTGGATCGCCACCAAGGACATTGGTTTCTTCGCGGCTGAGGCGTTCCATGATCCGGCTGCCTGGAACAACAAAGCTGTCGGGCTGGCGGGTGATGAGCTTACCTTCTCACAAATGAATCAGACATTCGAGAAGGCGGCTGGCGCACCCGTCGGAACCACGTTTGGATTCCTCGGCAAAGCTTTGAAGCATGGAGTCTCTGAAATTGGTGTCATGGTCAACTGGTTTAAGGATGATGGCTACAAGGCGAACGTATCACAAGCCAAGAAAGTCCATCCGAACATCCTGACTATGGAAGCTTGGTTGAAGGAGACTGCCTTTGTAAAGAAGTGATGATTGTCCAGGCACTTGGGACTCAGGAAGGAACTATGTTGTTTCGTAATTTTTGTGCAACAGCTCTGAGATAGCCTTATGATAGAATGAAAGCGGAAGAAAGGTATCTATCCCTAAACGCAGCAACTGAGTCTTATTTGAGTTGATGTGATACATCACATCCTTCAGCAGTTTACAGAAAGCAGCAAAGTTCCAATGCAACATCAAAGACCAGTAAAATCGACAGCTACACGCCAACCTTGAACACCCACAAGAACATCTTGTCCCATGACGTCACCTGCACACATCAGGCAACTCAATCGAGCCCAGGATGATCTGCCGGCGAGATGGGCCGATTGCAGCTAATGCGAGCTTGCGAGCCCCTGCCTCAACCTTGCATATATCCGACCCGCGCGGAAGTACAACTCTGGGGTTCTCAATCATACCTCAACCTTTTCCTAATGGGTAATGCAAGAAAAGCGATATAGTTGATAAGTTGCCCAACGGAGATGATGACTGATCCGAAAAGCCGTCAACAACTCCGTGCACACAACAATTTAGGACACACAGCGAACTGCCGCCCACGTTAGGAACATGTCGAGAACACTGTGCTTCTCTATCCACGGTAACGCGGTACGGCATAGTCTAGGCTTTGCCCTTACAGTCAGTTCTCTGGTTCTTCAACAGGGCATTGCAACATCGCGTCCGCACCGGACTAGCCGTAGAAGGCATGCTGTTAGTTGTCAATACAACCTCGTAGCTTAACCTTCCAACTCCGGACTTACCGACAAATAACAAAACTGGTTTATAGAAGGAGTTATGCTGATCAACGGGTTGTCAACAACTCTTACAAATAGACTTTCAGGGGGTCTTCGGGGCACGCTTCTCATTTGAGTCATGTGGTCTGACTTAAATATGGATAGCTGAGCGGTTCACTGCGGGGATAACGTCGCATGTATACAACTCTACAGTAATTATACAGTATCTCGGAAGACATAGGCCGAATACCCTCCCTTAAACAACTCTATTTCCGCAAATTGATCGTCATCGACAATGGGCTCTCGCGCCATTGGCTTGCAATAATGGCGCATGAAGTGAGCCGAAAGCGAAAGTAGAATATCGAACATCGTAAGATCATGGGTATCTACAGCAGTAAAGCTAGATGCTACCTTCTAGACTTGATGTAAATGCAACATAGCAAGTAGGATATAAGCCGTCTAATTCCCCGCCTTGCAATACAATGTCCAGCGGTTCATCCCATCTTGACTCTCCACTAGCCCAGCATTGTCAACTTCGTTCGCACACTCTTTCTTGCTCAGCAAATCTTCACAATCGCTATCAAGATGAAGTTCGCTGCTGTCCTTCTTCCTCTCATCCCCGCTGCTCTTGCCGGCGAATGCATCCGCGACAGCGGCTGCCCCGGCTGCGGTCAGGTTGCCAGCGTCAGCTACGTCCAGGACGGAAGCACCTCCACCGCTACGGCCGCCTCCTACGGCTCCGTCACCTTCAGCGACACCACCATCACTGTCAAGAACACGTCCAACAAGTGGCTGTTGTTCTGCAACTACGGCACGGCCTGCTTCCCTGTCGAGGCCGGCGACACTTGCACCTCGGCCCGCCAGTCTTCCGATTCCACCGGTCTCGGCCTTCAAGTGTGGTCCCAGTAAAAAAAGTAAGTTCTGACCAGCTAAAAGATTCTAGCAGTGACTGTCAACTGACACGGAAGCTCAGGGATCTCCAAAACGTGCGTCTGGGATCGGCATGGCAGCATGGCTGAGAGCTTGGATAAACGCGCGGGTCTGACAAACTGACAGGAGTCAGGCGGGGTTGATGGTTCCACGTCCCGCAGTCGTCCCAATTCTCTCGACAGCGCCTGAGATGGCGAGTACGAATACGTGGGTTGGACACTTTGTGCCACCTCCGCACGAAGATTGCTGTAAACGCAATCAGTTTGCAAAATGGCTGAGGGCATATTGAAACCCGAAAAAAAAAAAACATCGAACAACACTTGCATTCTCCTGACGGCTCAAACGATACCTTGCTGCGTGCTCTGTGCATTGTGATATTTATAGACCATGGCCATTCTCGACGACAAGGTTGATGCTCGTTAAGCTACCCCTTTCCCCTGTCGCGCGATCGGCACCCCTGAGAGGATCTACTTAAGGAGTGACACTATGACCCGGCCTTGTGTTGAAGCTAGACAAGGACACAGAATATGTAGATCAAGTATATACATGTAAAGAAAAGGTAGAAAAAAAGTTGCCACAGCTAGGTGACGTTGTCAAAGAAATTGGGTTCAGCGAAAAAGTAAAAAAGTGTGAACCCTAGTTGTTGGCGTCTGCCCGTTATCGTGGCATCCTCAAGACTGCTTGCGCTCGGTTCATCTCTCGTTTGTTGCTCTCATGGTCGCCTCATGATAAATCCTCAACGTTGAGGAGTACGCTCTGCTTCAAAGGAACAAAGCCTTCTCTTCCGAGCTGCCTCAGCAGCTCAACTGCCCGCGATTGGGGTTGCGAAACGACAGAAAGCTCGCGGTAATGGTGAAAGTTGTCCACAAAATTCTTCTCCGGGAAGTGCGTGCGCAAAATATCAAGCACGGTGTCAAAGTTGAAGGGTTCAGCCCAAGCAAAGATTCTCTCACTGCGAACGTTGGGGAGCACCGCAGCAGCAACGTGAAGTCGAGCGTTGTCTTCTACGTCGACGAAATACTCTGCAGCCTTCATTAGCATATCAAAGAAGCAAGTATTGAACATTTCCTAGTGCACTCACGTGGCGGAATACTTGCTAGGCGATCTACGTGCGTTCCGTTCCATAGACTTTCGATAAAGGATGAAGTTGACGAATGTCCCTGATTGGTCGCATCCAAAGCTCTTCCAAAGTTGGTTCCGGGAAGCACTAGCATGTCATTAGCCTCACTGAGTCGCCGCATCATCCAAAGATTGATAGATGTGCCGATTCGGCGATTGCTTACCGGAGCTAACTATCAAGTCATAACGTCGCCTGATGTTCTCGTGATAAAACTTCCACACTGCCATCTCGGCTTCCACCTTACTTGCGGCATAAATATGCCACGCTCGCTGGGGGTGGTACGGAGCCTCCCTCCATGCTATCTCTACCGACTCAGTGTTCCAACTGTCGGAAGTCACCTCTATACCCTTCTTCTCAGGTTGAGGGAGAGCTGCAGCAACAGAAGAACTTGTGAAGATGAACCGCTTCACACTCGTCGCTTTATTAGCGGCCCTGAGCGCATTCAAAGCCACAGTGATACTCCTAGGAATGACGCTCTCGGGGTTTGGGCTAAAAGACACTGGAGAGGCGGCATGTATCACAGCAGAGACACCTATAAGAATGTTAGCCTCTCTGGTATACCAGTGAGAGCTCCAGAACACTCACCTTCAGTAGCAGAGTCAAAAACGCCCTCCTTCTCCATGTCCGGCAGTGAAACCAACATGAAGTCTCCCTTCGGTCTCTGTCGCTTCAGTGCCTCTGGTAGCCATGCACATTTCGACACGTCGCGAACCGTTCCGCGGACGTTGAACCCCAGCTGCAGCAGTTCATTGCAGACGTGAGAGCCGATGAAGCCGTTCGCACCCGTCACCAGGACCGTTGAGCCCTTTGGAATGGCGAATTTTTGTTCCGGAGTCATATTGAAAGACCTTGAGGCTGGCGATATTGACTGTCCGTTGCAAGGATGACGAGTGCAGAACCACCGTGGCTGTTCGCAGAGCCAAGAAATGTGGCTATTTGTCGAGATGGCTGCGTTGCTGCGCGCGGCGACCGCCAGGCCTCCCGTCTAATACGAGAACGAAAGCAAGCGGATGGGTTTATAAACTCTAGCGACTTTTCCAGACATTCTGAATGCATCTTAGGCTCAAAAAAGTCTACCCCGCCTTTTTATCTAGATAGAGGTTTCGTGTCTGTCACTTGTGACATTTTCCTGGTGGTTTGAAACAGCCTTTCTGCCAGAGACCGTTGTCGTTGAACGCCAAGTGGGACTCCTGGAAAAGGCCCAAGATGACAGAACGGGACCCAGACCCGATGCACCCCTACGACATATCGCGAAATAAAACAACTACTTGCACTGATAAAATAATGCGGTACCGATTTTTTTGCGGATGAGTCGGCATCAGAGAAGTTTTTCCATTCCTTTAAAAGTCTCGTCCGAGCTGGAGGATTCGTATGGCTGACATTTGGTGTCAAGGGGTTGTAGTTACGCAAGACTTGACATGGGACTCAAACAGTACCAGAAACATGGATTTTCCGACTGTCTACCAGAAACGATACACGCAGCAAAGTGCGGTGTTTCTCAGCTGCTGGATCCAAGTTTGCGCCCTTTTTTCTTCGTTTCTTCCCACCCAAAGTCACTTGGACAGCTAGATATGCCATATGGCGGCGATCCTCGCCCCCACTTCGTGACAATTACGTGCAACTTACTCTGAAATGACCATGTGTTGCAGGGATCTCAAAACCGCCAGTCTGCTTTTGCTCAAGCTATGGATGTTCAAGCAAAAGGCAACTGTGTGACGCTAGTTGGAAGCGAGAATTTGTCATATCTTACTCGAACCACTCCAATTGGCCATTCATACCATCTTCTCCGAAGATGTCGATTGTACGAATGCACTCTTCAACTGCCTTGAGGAAATAAGCCGTCGAATAACGGAACAAAAGCCTGCTTTCATGGAGAACACTCGTAGCTTCCAAAACGATCCGAGACTGCCTTGTAAAGGCTGTTCTGTAGGAAACGAAGAATCTTTTCAAACTGAATACTCTCAAGAGACAGCTGCAGGGAAATTAGAGAGTCCAAACATCATGTATAGAGTATTGCCTTGCTACGAGACATGATTGATTGATTCATAAGTCTTTACTGTTGACAAGTTGCGGCTAAACTCCCTCAAGGACATATGTCTTATTGGATTAATTCTTGTTCTGGGGCTTTGAAGACCCTTCAATGACTTACTATAAATCATTTACTCTATTTCTACTCCAAGTCGGTAAGTTTGCCATGATATTTGATAATACCTCGTACATTATAGACCCACGTGGAAGGAACCCTGAAATGGTACTCTGCGCATGCGGTAAGAACATCGATTGTTGACTTCGGCATTAATGATGATCAACCTGATGACCCTGTCCTTCCCGGCTGAAATCCAGACTCTTATCCGACGAAATATCGTTTGAAGACGACTACACGATTCTTTTGAGCTTGTGCATCATTTAGCAAATCTGGAGCAAAGGACAAGATTATAAGCGGCGAAGCGCCAAGACATCTAGAACAAGAGTAGACACCGTGATGGATTCAAGTCGTTTCATGGATTGGTCAAAGACAGCGATATCGTATCTCAAGGTCCAAATGCAACATCTTCAAACATTACGATGCTACGACCTTCAGATAAGCTATGGACGGCATTCACCGAGATTAATAATTACAACGCCCAGGGCGCTGTCCGGGTACGGGGCAAAACTTCGGTCCCGGATGGGACCACTCCTCGCTCTCGTATCCCGGCCCGATTGGTCCAAAACATCGGGAAATATGGAGTTCTTAGCGGCTCGCACTTGATCGGAGGCCGGCGGTACGCAAACGTCAAATGGCATTCCAACTTCAAATACCTAGGCATTTCCCCTTACGTAGAAGAACATGATCTTGTGCATTACTCGTGTGACAGAATCATTATGTAAGCCGTATATATTTTGGTGGACTTTTGCGAATCTGCTACGTTGAACATGATGATTTCCCGGTTGAGAGCCGTCGCTATTGCCTTGGCTCTACGTCTCTCGACACGCTAAACGATGCAATCGCAGACTGGGAATGATGCTCCCGCCAATCAATTTTCGTGCACGCAATGCCGGACGCGGAAACTCAGGTGCGATCGCGTTCGCCCACGCTGCGGTCGGTGTTCGAGACTCGGAGACAGCTGCGACTATCCTCAGTCGAGAAGAGCCAATGTTGGTAGAAGAAAACGGGTACATGAGCTAGAGGCCAAATTAGGTATGTTGATTTTTGTATTGACAGATTTTGACGAAGTAAAAATAATCCGAATGTGGCGGAATTCGGAGACCAATGAATCTCACTGTCTCACACTCACGATCTGGTAGACCAACTCGAGAGGTTGGCAAAGACTGGAGACAACCCTTCTGCTTCCGAAAATGACGGAACCTCGCCGCAACAAATCGCCAGCGAGAGTGTCGATTTTTTGACAGGAGACTTGCCGTATGCGACAGCATCAACAAGCGGTACTCCAGATCAAGATCAGAACTCACTAGAAGACAAGACGTCTTTCACCGAACTACTCTCCCAAGGGCTTTTCGAGCAATCGCCGTCTAAAGATGTCATCGAGTTTTTGTAAGATTAAGAACCCTTCCTTCTCTACTTATTCCTCATCGATTTGATCCTTTGGAAATGACCAATTTTCTAACTCTTTCTACAGAACAAGGACGTACTTTGATAAGTGGCAACACGCTGCGCCAATGTTGCACCGGACCCGGTACATCATGTCGTTGTACTTGCCACCTCACATGCAGCCTCCAATGTGCCTACAATACATCGTCATGGCCTCCGGCGCAGAAGCAACCAAGACTCACCGACAGCTAGCCATGCCGTTTTACCATCGCGCTAAGGCATATCTAGAAGCCGATGAAATGAAAGTGAGTTGTGCCCCCCCTCCCCATTCTCAAGAAATCAGCGCAAGCTGGCAGGATGGTGGTTTTGACACTACTCAACAAAAATAGGGCGATGGTCATTACTTTGCCACCGTAGCGCATGCTCAGTGCTGGTCACTGATTGCCAACTTTGAAGCTCAGCAACTCTACTTTGCACAAGCTTCAATGAGTCTCTGTCGAGCCATCAGGGTTGCCCAGATGCTCGGCCTTCACCGTGTCGATGGGGAATGCGTCAACGCGATGCCTCTGCTTCCGCCGCCGCGGGACTGGTCCGAGGCAGAGGAGAGACGTAGGACGTGGTGGGTGATTTACTGTGCGGATCGGTTGGTTAGCGGTAGTACGGGCTGGCCGGTCATGATCAACCAGCAAGATGTGAGTCAACGGCACCTGAGCGCTAGACTCTGGTTGAGCCACGGAAACATGATAAAGGTACCTGGCCATTTCGTGCTCATCTAAGCTTTTGCAGATTTCTACCCACCTCCCTGCGTCAGACACAGCTTTCGAAACGGGCGTGAAGGAGCAGGCGAGTCCGCTGACGAGTATCCTCCTCCAAGAAGGCCGGGACTTTTCCGCCTTCGCAGGACGGGTCCTGGCCGCGGCATCATTCTTCCAGGCCTTCCAGCACTCGACACGAACGTTACCAGACGACGATCTAACCGATCCTCGCACAAGTCGGAACTGGAAACGACACCGTGAAATTGATAACGATCTAGTAGGTCTCCTCGGCGCCCTCCCAGACGACCTCACCCTCCCCAAGAACATCCAATGCCGCAACGCCACCTTTATCAACGCCATCATCCATACGTCAGTCATCTTGCTTCACAGAGCAGCTCTCGCCCGCGTTGATTCTTTCGGGTTGCCGGAACACATGGCAAAACAGAGCCGGGCGAGGTTGATTTGCGCCGCTGAGGAGATTCTCAACATTTTCCGAATGATGCCCGACATCACGCAGACGCTCAAGAACCCCATGTTGACCTTCTCCATGTACACGGCCTCTCTCGTGTTCCTCGACAACTGGGATACGTCAGCCCAAGACTATCGGCAGCAGGATAACCTGGACTTCATCCTTCGCATCATCATACTAGCTGCCAAAGCATGGAATAATCCCGTCATGAAGTCGACGGCAGTTCAGCTCGCGGTGGATATGCGGCAGCAAGGTCTCAATTCTAAGGCAGTTAAAAAGGTATATATTTACAAATCCTCCTTCTCCATAGTAAAGCCTTCCTTACAAAACTATACTAACTTAGACTATATAGGCAACTAAATTATCACCAGGTCTTAATATAGAACCTATTATAGCAAAAGGAGTTTTTTCATCATCTAACTTCATATAGGGTAGTTAGTTCGAATCGTAAGTTAATAAAGAGGTTAAATTAATTTCTATATAAAGGTATAAAAATAAGATTTTAACTAGAAATTAAATAGGCTACGAGTTTTATAAATACAAATTATTCCGCTTTATATTGCGATTTCTCGTAGATATTAGGGAGATTTCACCGTGATTTCTCCGCCATTACGGTAAAAGACTTTATGGTAAAACCTGCAAGAATTTACTAGGAATTCTCAACAAAAGGCTACTAAATATTACGGAGATTTCTCCAGGATTTCCCCGTAAAATCTTAAGGTATTTCTTAAAGATTTCACTATAGAGGCATAATAAAATCTTAAAAAGGACATCTTAATATTATTACTATTTCACCGCATATAAAGTATAATAATTAGTAGTATAACCTCTTTTTTAATAAAATAAGTAGTTACTTACTTACGGAAAAGACGAGTTAAATAAGCGTTAACTCCTTCTATACTAATAGGCTAGCTAAATAAGTATTGATCTTATTATAGAAATAAGCAAGCTAAGTAAATATCGACCCTATTCACGATAAAATTACGATAAATAAACGCCGATAACGATATCGACTTACTTTAGGAATTCAGGGACATTCCAATCCCAGAGAACTAGGATCGAGCCGCCTAGCTAATCGCAGCTTACATATTAAATTACGACCGCCTTAAATCTATTAACAAGCCGAACTACCGGGTCATTCTAATCTTATAAATTATAAAAGCCGTACTAATTACGTAAAACCCTAACTAGCAAATTGATAAATCCGTATACCTATCTTCCTAGCGATAATAAGGACGATTCCGGATAGTATTTACTATATAACTAAATAAGGAACCGGTTTACTAAGATTATATTATTCCTCATTTATAAGATCAGCTACCGCTAGAACAGCTTATCTTTATAGAATTAATAAATATAGTAAAAAAAATCCTATCGTACCAGATTCCCCCGGACTTAAGGCTATTACTAGAGGAGATAAAACTTCCCTCTTCCCCGCTATCACTAGATCCAGAACCTCCTCCTACTTTTAAGGAATAATCAATATCTAAAAAAAAATAACTAAAGTAAAAAGTCTCTTTCGTAACAAAGCCTCTCGATAAACGATACCTCGCTATAGATAGAAGTAAAGGTTTCCCTATAAAGTCTAAAAACTTTGACTATTTAGGTAATAGCTAATCAGCTTACCCCGGCTTTAATAATACCCCGCTAGATAAAACCTCTTATTTACGCTAGTAAACGTTACGTTAAAGCTATATACCGCATAATCGTAAGTATTATAGACGGCAATATATCTCCTATAGCACGTTATACTACCCCGGATCTTAATATCCTACTCGCTCTAATTAAGAGAACTCTTTCTTAGATAATAAACCTTATACTATATAATCGGGTTTAATATATAAAAGCTCTTACCTTGGTTACGTAGACGATAACTTTCCCGGACCTCCTCCGCCGCTGGGTAACCGGAATAACCCCGAATAAAAAGACATTAACCTGGATAATAAAAACGATAAAGACTATAGTCCGGTAACGGACTTCTACCTATAGAAGGTTACGTTTAATACTAAGGAAGTCGGCTGGTTTAAACCCTCTTCAAAATACACTAAAACCCGAAATATATAAATAAAGGGTACTAAAAATATCTAGATAAACGTTGACTAATTCATTAACGTATTTTAGTACTACGCCATATAATCCCAATAACATTATAAAGCTACTATTCTAAACTTATATAAATACCTTCTAGGGGTATTACTAAATTAATATACTAGAGATATTATGCCGGACATCTAGTATAAATTACGTAATATTAACTACGGACTTGATTAATAGTCTTAGTATTTACGCAAACGGTTTAAGATACTGCGTTCTATTGCCTAGGTATAACTTAACCGCTTATATTATACTTTAAAAAATATATATAATAATAAAGACCTTCGTTATTTTGCTACTAAAATTAGCTAACTAGCTATCGTAGCCGACCACCTACCTAAATAAATCTTTAAATTAATTTATAACCGGATTAATGCAAACCTTATAGTAGGTAGACCAAGACCTAATAAGTTTACTAACCATAATACTTAACTTAACGACCTAGTTAATTACCAAAAAGGCTAGTACCGAAACGTCTATCGTAATTAAAAATCTTAGCTCAAAACCGCTTTAATTATAGACTCGACTAGATAAAAATAGTACCCTTTAAGGTCTATATTTCAAAAATCACTATTCTAAAAAGACAGTACTAACTAAATAGACTCGCCACTATAGCGGATTAAACTATTAGATAAAACTACCGTTATAGGGCCGTTTAAGCTATAGAATAGCTTACTATAGCGACCTATAAATAGTAACTACTGTAAAAAGTGCGGATATTATCAGTAAAAGGATAACCCTAATTAAAATAACCGTAATAAACTAACAAATAGTAAATCCAACTATCCAAATTAGGTTAATTAACGGCGATTAATATACAAATACTAAAAGGACAGAACCAACTTAGTATAGAAAGTCTACATACAAAATAAAGATAGTATAATTAACTAGGACGTCCAATAGCAAATACAAAATAAAGGATATTATATTATTAATACTTATGCTATAAAATCGCCAGTATCCTCTATAGAAATATTTAATAGCTAACCCGAGGAGTCGGATAGTACTAAAGAAGTTAATATCCTTAATAATAAAACCGTCTTATCCGATTATTAATATATTCTAGAATATAATAATATTTATTTTATTTCGTTAAACTACTATACATATTATGCAAAACTACTATATACTAAGCAGATATAATGCATATACTATTTGATTTATTAGAATATAAAACTAAAAAACCTTAATAACATCCACTAATTTAAAAATCTATTATAAAAAACGGTTAATCTTTATTTAGTACTATATAACTTCTACTATATATGAATAACTATTGCCTTTAAAGCTAACGGTCTGTAAAAATAAGCCTATATAGATAGTAAAACTAGTAAAGTAGCTATTAGAAAAGATATTCTCTACCAAATCCCTAGCTACATAATCGATTAAACCGTTAAGTAAACTTTAACGGGTATAGGATATGCTAAAATTATAGAATAGGCTATGTTTAACTTATACGTAACAAGTATTATTAATAATAAACCTTACTCCGCCGTTTTATATATAGGAGTATAGGTCTTAAGATACCTTTAAGCCGGTATTTTAATAAGTTAAGAGTTTAACGTTCTAAATAAAATAAATATCCTTAACTTAAAAAGAAAAATCCGCATCGGAAGTTATAAAAACTTAGAAATTCTTACGGTAATATATTCTAAAAGATCACTATGTACATATAAGGTCAGATCCGCTATTAATATAATAATCCCACTACTATAGCACGCTATAATACCTATTTTAATAATAAAAGATTTAAAACCTATTTACTATTATTTAGACTTAAAACCGATAGCAACATCAACTATTTAATAGGTTATAGTCTAGTAGTATATATTAAGAATTAATCTTTTCAAAAGCCGCTTCGCCTCTATCAAAACGAAATAATAAAAACTTTACAACCGCTAAACAATAATATTACCTAAAAAATATCACTTACAGACATAATTTCCAACCTATAAAACACCACCATCAATACTAAGAATAACCAAAATGAGGAATAAGGACTTTATTATAACTATTTAACTACTAAATTAAAGATAGGTATTAAGCAAAACAAGGACTATAAATCGATTAAAACTCTAAAAGAAGTAACTATTTTTAACCGTAATAAATTATTTATTAAGAAGCTTGCTACCATTATTATAGACTTCCTATCTATATAGAAACTCACCGGTCTAATTAAGGTAAGGCTAGAAAAAAAAATAACGATACTATTAATTCCGAACTACTACAAACATAATATCGGTTAACGTATGTTCCCGTAGGGCATTAATAACTAACATTTTATTAACAATAAAATGGATAATATATATACTAAAGGTTAAGCCAAATAGGTTAACTTTCTAATACTATTCGGTATACCCCTTTTTATAATATAGAGAATAATAAACGGTAAACGTAAGGGCCATATGGTCGTAAACCTTAGAGCACTAAATAAAGTTACTATACCTAACGTATACCTACTACCACTATAATCAAAAATTATCCGCAAAATATGTAGTAAAGCCTTTATAACTAAAGTAAATACCCGAATATTCTTCTATCAATTCCCGGTTAAAAAGGAGCATTAAGAACGATTAACTATAATAAACCATCGTAGCTAAGAAATATCCACTATAGCCCTAATAAGATTTCGCAATTTACCGGCGTATACTTAGCGATTCATTAATAAATTACTCCGTAATCACACCGAATATACATGGGCATTTATTAATAATATCGTTATTACCTCCGATATAGAAAAAGAATATACTAAATACTTATATATTATTTTTAATATTTTTAAAGAAAAAGACGTTACCCTCTCGCTAAATAAGTCTTTTCTTAAATTTCTATCTATAGAACTATTAAGTTTTAATATCGATATATTTAAATTATAGAATATCGAAGACCGTATCAGAGCCTTAAAACTTATCTACTTCCTAACAAACCTTTTAGTATTAGAAAAATAAATTAGCTTTATAGGATATCTCTACCATCTTATACTACGTTATACTTTATAAATCGATGCTCTATAACGGTAAAAGACAAGCTTATTAGTATAAAATAGAAAAAAAAGAAAGGTTTAAAGAGCAGTATAGAAATACTTTTATAATACCGCTAATATCGATAATATTCTGTAAAAAAAAGCCGTATTTAAAGATATAAAAGCCGTACTAATAAATTCGTTAACCTTATTCTATTATAACCTATACCGTACGCTTTTTATATAGCTAGACGTTTTATATAAAAAAAGCTACGGCACTATAACCTTCTATTTACGTACCGGAACCAAGTAGATACTAGGTACTCCTATACTGCAGATATTAGTTAAACCTATCCTCTACCTTAGTAAAGTTCTTAATTTTATAAAAAAGAAATATTAGCTAATAGAATTAGAAGTCGTATACCTCGTATAAATAATAAAAAAGACCCGTATAATAA